TATAAAAACCCGATAACGAACAGAGCTGTTGTTTTAGCGACGTGTGAGAAAAAACAGATTTACATAGCGACTGTCCTTGAAAGTTCATACCAGGTTAATGCATAGTAATATTCTGTCATAGATAAAAGTCTACTATTTAGTAATACAAGACTTGTTTCAAAAAACCGTTGTGAAACAAGTCTACCATAATTCTTCATTTTTCATTATTAACAAAGCAAATTAATTAAAATATGCTCTTACAAAGTACCTGTGAAACATCTTATTTATAGATTACTGCATATAATGGCCATGAGACCCAGTAAGAAACACGTTTATTATTATATCAATATAAAGCAAAATAATAATAGGCGAGTTTATTCAATTTTAACTATCATATCATTTGACGGATTTAAGTGGTTGCCTGAAGAGATCGCTCGAAAGCGGTAAGGCCGCCAGTTGCCATCTTTTTCATTTTTATTATGTTAATGCAAAGAAGTGTTAATAATTAAAATAAATTAGTAAATTAAGCGATAAGATCCAAAATACTAGATTAAGACTATTTCATAATAAAATTACAATGGTTATGTCTAAATTGAGTAATACAAATATCTTCGCGTATAAAACCGAAATTACTTATTCATATAAACGACATATTGTGCAAAAACACGTTTGTAGCACGCTTCTGTATAATTTAAGGTCAAAGCACTAAATTGATAATTAAGATTTTCTACAAGCACCGGACCCGGACAACTCTTAAAGTATAAAGACTTCTTTTTATTAAACGATAACCCTTGCTATCGCTTCAATTTGATTCAAATAGCCGGCCATTTAATACTTTTAATAATAAGTTTTTGAGGTTTTAAATAAAAGCGTTACATCATTGATAATTAAATGAAAACAAAAGAAATGTTTACTGTTAAATAATGTAAATTAAATAAAGACATATTCGTTTTATTAAATTGTAATTAACTTACCAATAAGCTTGTTGTAGATCGGAACATATAAATTGATAACTCGTCCCGCGAGAAGCGCTAGAATACATATGAACACGTAAAATTGCAGCAAAAGACTCTTCTTGGGCCAGAGAAAAGGCAAAAGTGTGCGTAATTTTGCAAATACATTTCGAAACGTTGAACGACTTTCTTCCTGAAAAAAATAGTAAATGCTCAACTGAACGGAATTTTAAACCTTACAAATCGATATGGCTGAACCTAGAACCTGACCGATAAAAAAACAATGATCGATTCAATCAATAACAGGAAATTTTACACTTTTTTATAAATGAATATGTTTTTATTATAATAATATATAACTACCTGTTCTGGATATATTATTAACATTTTCTAGCCAAGAAGCCGAGGTTAACTTGAATGTATCGAACTAGGTTTAAGGTAAAATAATTTATCCAAAATTATGAATACCTTTTTAAAGAAATACTTTTCAGCTGCACTATAATAATTTTGATATGGACATGACATCTTAACTAATAAAATATAAAAAATACGAAAGTAAAAACACGAAATTTTCTAAGTCATTATTCACATCATATTTGGCAGATGATTTGTCATTTATGCTTTCTTTTTACTTCTGTTTTGAGACATTACATTCAACACGCTTGTTTTTATTTCAACAACATATTTTCTCAGTGTTTTTAGGATATTGTAACTTCCCCTACGTCTGCTATGGATACTTAGTTTAAAATTAATTATGAATTAAAAAATGTTGTTTAGCATTTTTTTAAATTAATAAAATGACGTCTATGGTATGGTATAAAGCATAGATCCCGTGAAGCAAAATTTATAAACTATTTTTATAAATGACTATGTAACTACACTTCCAGCTGTTAATCAATTTAGTCAAAAATTCACATCTTTGTACCTAAGTTTCTCATTAATAAAAAAGGATAAATATATTTATGATAATAATGATGATTACCCTTGGTAATAAGTTTCGCCTATTATGCTCATCACCATCCAGGTACTCGAATTGATGCATGATTCCAGGTGCCTTCATTCCTAGGATAAACATTATCATACATGATATGTAACGTCCAACAAATAAAGACATCTCTAAGCGGTCTTGAAGACTGAAAATACAAACAGAGTTATGGATAACTTAGTGGTTTTCCGAAAAACAATTTAGGTTTTAAGGCTGGTGACCCTCTTGTCTGTGAAGAGCGATGAAACAAACCCAAATTAGAAAACAAAGATCCAGTCTTGAATTTAAAAAAAAGTTATGTGTAAGAGAAAGAGCATTAGAATATTATGGTTTTAATAAAAAAATCTACACTTACTTCTTTAAGTGCCACCACCATCCTTCTTTATTTATATTTAAAAAAGATAAATTTTCTGAAATAAATATCATAGCCCAAAATGCAAGTAACACAAAGCCATGGCCTCTGGGTGGTACTGATGGTAACAAATATCGCCTTTCTAGAATTGCTAAGTATGCAGATAGTGGAAACACAATTATAGTTACCACTAGAGCTACAATCTGCAATAAAGTTATTATAAAAAATCATATTAGCAGTGTTTATTATCTGTGGTAATGGCAAACATTGTTAGAAAACTGTCATTCAGGCTGGTCTTAAAACCCAAAAATTCAACAACATATGTCAGGTACAGGTCAGTTGACACATCTACTTCTATAAAAATACTAGATGATCCCGTGAACTTTGTTTCACCAACATATATTTGTCAAAACTTTTAAAACAGACCTAAGAGATCGGACCTCATACAGCATACTACATACTAATACTATGAAACACATATTTCTGAAAGCATCTACAAATAAATACCAACAAGTTCACAATTTTTTATTTCTAAAAAGACGTCTAATTTCCCAACTAAGAACAGTTTTTATTGAAAAATTCAATTGGCGGTTTTAGTTTTTTTATTCAATTGTTGTTGACGTTTCCCACCGTTTAAACATTCCCTGAACTTACACAAATATTTCAAGATCATAATTAGCCAAATCGTTCCGGCCGTTCTCGAGTTTTTGTTTATGTATGTAGGTTGATGATCAAAGAAACAGATGCAGTCTAAGGCCAACCCATATATGGCTACTACTGACTTATTATCATTATTATAACAAATCTTAAAATTAAACATATGTCTATGCTGTCATATAATTTAATTTGAAATGCTAATGTTATATGAAGTTGCAAGTGCATATAACCTATAAGTACTGACATATTATAGAAAATGCTGTTTTTTCAATCAAATTTCATTTTATAATACATATTTATATAAATAAAATTGTTGCTTTCAAAATGCCAAGGCTATCAGGAAACAGATCTTCAGGCGATTTATATTATGTTTTAATTGACATAATTTTGCATTTAGAATAGGCTGCTACAGTATTTTTATCTATTTTATTAATACAAATTAATTGTTTCTTATTTTTTTTAGGATTTTCAACTGATAACATAATAATGAACTACTACAATGATTTATTGAATTTTACAATTATAAAATTAAATAATGCTATAATTATAATATTATTAATGTTAACTAGTTATATAGGATCTTATAAAAACTATTTAGCTTACCATATAACCATAAACATGGCCTCCTTTAAAAAGAATAGTTTGCAGTAAAAATCTAACTATACCCAACACAGGTACAAATAATGTAAATAATAATTGTGTTACAAATAACTTTGATGACCTGACATCTAATACTTCAGTAGCATAGCTGTAACAATCATTTCTATTAAAATAAATTTTAACACACTTATAACACATTGTTGGAACTTTATTCTTATTAGTACAAATTTTCAAGCTGAAATAATCAACAAACAAATTAAATAATAATTTTCTGAAAAATATGAAATAATTTACTACATACCGTTTATACATAATGATTTGAATTGTGCCAAATACAAGAAGAAATACTCCTATTATGGAAGCACTAACTGTCTCCATAAAACACTGAGAAATTCCATGGTCCACCCATACTTCTCCCAAGGTAACATTTGGAGGACAGTACTGCATTTTTGTGTAACTAAGGCGACGAAAAATAATTAGTAGATTTTAGTAGTAGTATATATTGCCGAAATAGAGAACAAGAAAATAAAAAAAAAGACAATAATCTAATTAAGCACGTAATTACCGGTGTGCGCAACACTGAGACTTTAAAAATAAACTAATAACAAAAAACTATACATACGTCTAAGCTAAAGGCACCTTGGCGGATTTACAAATAAACTTATCAAAAACCCTTAATCACTGCTCTTAGTTCTTACTGAATAAATTAATCATAATGATTTCAACATGTTGTTACGACTGCTGGATTCTGAAACATAAATCTAAATAACTTTTTAACACTGGACAACTGACGTTTCGGATAAATGACGTTTAATGCGTAACTAAATGACTTCACATACACTGTCAAAAACCATGACGGGTGCACAGAGCAGTATAAACCACTATCTTACGTATGAAGAACATATTAATCCGGTTTATTTACTCTAATATTATATATATAACTTTTTTTATCTCTTTTGATAGGCCTAAAATTTAAACGGTGAGTCAGCTATTTGCGAAACCAAAAGAGAAATCTTAACACTATAATCATTTTAACTTGACATTGTATATTTAGATTTTGACTTAATGTCAGTTGTCAATGGATAATCAAAGTGCGAGAAAAGATTGTCCAAAATGGAAAATGAAATGGACTGCTGCTGATAAGTGGTAGTGTACAGTATATTCTTGGTTTAAGCAGATTTTCCTATTAACAATCGCTATTAAATTATCTGTGTTAAGTTACGTGTTTCATTGAAAAGTTTAAGTAAGAAAATGTTTGTTAATATTTTCCGTTGTGTCTCTAATGTGCCCTTTCCATTATTATGAAAATGTGTCAGCATTCATCAACAAATGGTGTAAAACGCGAGTGGTTAGTAGTCATGTAAAGGAGGTTAGAACTGTTGATGATAACTAAAAGTGGACTACTGGATTTAGATTAGTGTTTGTGCAGTGATTTAGTGTTTTAGTCTGGTAAAGGTGTTAATTCAGACTCAAAATGGCGGATCTCGAAGCTGTCCTGGCGGACGTCAGCTATTTGATGGCAATGGAAAAGTCTAAATGTACCCCAGCAGCCAGAGCAAGCAAAAAGATTGTTCTACCTGACCCAAGGTAATGTCTGAATGTCATGGATTGTCATTGACAGGGTCCACATTTATTTCTAACCAGAACTTGTGTTGTTTACAAAATAGTAGCAGGAAGTTAAGACAGTCATGATTCACCAATTAAATTGTGAATTACCTGTAATTATCAATGAGGTATGGTGAAAAATTAAATGATTTCACTTTCATTAAATTGTATTTAGTCTTTCAATTAAAATAAAATAGTTTTATATGCATAATAAAGTTCTTTAAAAACAGTAATACTAAAATTGTGTACTCATAAAAATTACACCTTAATGTAATTTCACTAATTAAGAGCTGTGATTTAGTAAACATAAAGATATTACGTAGAGGTATATTGTAACTAGCTTAAAGTTAGTAAGTGAAATATTAAACAATAAGGCACAAAAAGAAGAGTATCTACTTCCAAAGTCTTAATTACCATAAATTAAAGTTTGTTTAAATTCAGTTAAGCAGTTTTAGGGTCTAGGTAGCTAACAAAGTTATGTGTTCATTTATAATAGAAAATAGAAAGAAAGGTTTATTAATACAAATCAATCAATAATAAAAATAGTACTGGTATTGACTTACACATATATTGGTTTTATTGCAATAGTTAATTGTTTTAATATTATGGTTTAATTGAAATCCTAGAATTGTTATCTACTAACTTTTGATGAAGTTCTATAATGTCTAGTGTCACCTCTGATAGTAACATATCAATTGTAATGTATTTCAAAAAAGCTATCAAAGATAGTATAAATTAAAAAATATGTAAAGATTTTTAGTTAGTTTCTTTGTTGCAGTGTACGAAGTGTTATGCACAAATATATGGAAAAGAAAAATGAAGTTAATTTTGACAAAATATTCAATCAAGTCTTAGGTAAGTAGACTTTTGAAGATTAAAACACCTAATTGTTACCACTAACTATACCAATGGTTTTTACTAAAATGAGAGTGTTTATGACAATAATATGTGTAAAAGACAAAAAAAAACATGATTGCATACTATATAAATCATGGTAATGAATATCAATATTTTATCAAAGATTTAATGTGGTTCTTATATCAGGAGTGATGATTATCTTAATAGAATAGGTTCAGGGCCTGATCAACCCTTAGGCTAATTAGGCTGAAGCAAAGCAAAGCAGTAAAAACAACTACAAAAGTTTAAACTTTTGTCATGATTTTGGTCATATAACGCATGAAGTGCTTTTTTTGTGTTTGTAGGAGCGCATCCTGATATATAGCCTAGAGCGGTCAGAACTCTTCAGAATCAGTGTCTGGATAGGTTACATGACTACTTTTATAAATTGCTTTAGAATTGAGTTTTCATTCATGAATTAGTAAATATGTGTTGAATAAACTGTACATTTAACAATTATTTACATACATCACTATTTATTTTAAGTGGCTCAACTCGTCACTCGTACGTCATATTTTATTATATGTACATGTTATTTACGTAAAAACTTTACAATGCTATTTTTTATGTAACTTTTGAAAAATTTTAGTTGTTAAACTAAAGTTACGAATTAATTTTAACAGACAGATGTTAGTAAGAAAATGTTATACAGAAGAATTTCTAACAGGTGGTACCTATGTATAAGATCAGTATAATCTATAACAATAAATACCTATATATTTTAATTATAATTAATGTTAGTTACACATAAAATCAAAAAACACGCGAATGCATTCGAGTGCGGTATTAAAAGTTGTGTGCTGGTAAATTGTGAGATATTTTACTAGTTTTAGTATACTCCGCGTTTTAGATACGGTTTTGGATAAATTCCGTGATGTCTGGATATGTATTTAGTATTACAAAAAACATAACAAAAATTGATACAAAATTATATTTAAATAAAAAGTGCCGTTCTTATTTTATACTGTAAAAGCTCTTTATCATTGAAACAGCTTATGGTTAAACGGATTGGGATCTGTTCTCTGTATGTTTAGCTACAAGAAATAAAATAAAATAGCTTTTACCAATATTTTAACTACATATTCAAAAGAAGCGCGAATCACAAAGATAGGTTCTCTAGTAATACGCATAAGAAGCACGTTTTGCATAATTTGTAGCCTGTTCATAAACATCAAAACTATAATATACTCACTGGGATTCAATTGAAGGCCAAGGCCCGTGAAGGTCCATAATGATTGCGTAGGCACGGTTCACGATTATTGCCGTCTTACAATGGCTTACCCTCAAATAAAAGGAACGTATGGCAACAAGGATATATTTATTTAGACTAGTTTTTCTTTTCAAGTTTCTTTGTCCTATCACAGAGGAATAACGGAGTTAACTATAGATTAATTTCGTCGTAAAATGTTAGAAATAAATCTATAAAGTCGAGATGGTGAAAATTGCATTTTAAATGTAATTGTACTTACAAATAATGGACATTAAACGAAAGGCATTAAAAAAAACTGCATAAGATTTTTTATAGTGGTATGTTTTGATAGTTTATTATTATTTGATGGCTGTGGTCGAACACATAAGTTCCTCATGAAGTAAGAATTCGTGTAAAACGATCACGTCTGCCCTTTCAAGATCGAAAATAATGCGTCCATACAAAAAACGGTTTAAATATATTAGCTAACACAAAGATGCAATTCAATTTCAAATAGTTTCACGTGCCTGTTACTATTCTTTGTACACTAACTAAGCACCGCTTAAATATTTATGCTCTTTGTAAGCGTCCTTTCTCAAAGTTCTCGTAATATTTTGCGCGAGGCTGAATCATTATTACTAAACCACTTAGTTTATGATCCGTTGAAACATAGCCACGGTGTAAGCGTCTCCTCTGGGATAAAATACGTCTGCAAAATTTTAACACTAACTTCAGCGTACGTGCTTTAATTAATGAGAAAGTCTTTTAGTATTAAGCTAATAACCTTTATTGAACAGTCTTATGCTTTGCCACTTGCCACTGACGCCTTTTTAATCCTGCTAAAGACAATCCTTTGTTATCGCTTGGAAAATGACATCTTCAATAATTAGTCGTTCAGTTGATTTGCACATTTACCTAGTTCAATTTGAAGAAAAAGCTGTTTTAGAATTTCGTTATCTTTTCGGTCACGTCAATATAATATTATAAAAATATTCGATTTTTTTATTCGCCCATAAAGGAATGTTGTTGCTTTTTTAAGATTATTATTAGTATTATTGTTAAGCCTTTATTGATACCACCCAGTCTATTATATGAACACTTATTTAAGTTACATAACCTAACTAAATATGACCCGTTTTTGGTAATCAGTGTGTCACATAGGCCTCTTCGAACTGCTTCCAAGTCTTTTCTGATGTTAGCTCTTTTTGTCCAAGTTGTGCCTCCTATTCTCTTTATATCGTCTACACATTTCTTGCTCTGTCTTTTCAAGATTAACTTTATTCAAATTAGTGGTATTTTAGGTTAATGAATTAATAGTCTGTATAAGTTTGTGTGACAGACTTATATTATCAGTATACTCTTAGGCGAGTTATAAACGCAATTTACGGTTCGCTTCCACTTGCAGTAAATAACTTTATCGAGGGCTGGGCGCTCGCTGTGTACCTAAGTATCTAGGTGTTTTTACTTACTGAGTTTTCATTCTGTAACGGCTGCAACTTTTTCATATTAAATTTGGATTGCTTAGCGTATTTTGCTTTATGTACAGTATAATGAGTACTTTTTTTGTCAGCAACAACTTTTACAAATTGATATCTGTATCTGTTGAACATATCAGACATTCTGATAAACGCGAATTTATTACACAAGTCGGTTACCATAACTGTTTAGCATCCGTTATAGAATTTTGTAGTACACGCGTAAATGTAAAAAAAACACGCAGGAAACAAGAAAAAAATTGATATAGTTAAAGTGCAAAAGTGTATTTCATTGAAGTATGGCACTTGTCTTCGGAAAAAGCTGTTTTTGTAGCTTTTAAAAATAATTCTGGACTTAGTATACATGATGTATAACACTGAAGTTTTTTAAAGCAGTCGGTCTTAAGCGTGCCTTTTTCAACCCCGAGGTGTGCTTTTGAATCAGGTCTGTGCACCAATGCACTTTTCTTTCTATGCGCGCAATTAACTCACTCTTACGCTGAAGGAAAACATCGCGAAGGAACCAGGACGGTGTGTCGGTCACAGTAGGCTGATCACCTACCTGAAAAAATATCACCATAATATACAGGAATCTAAGGGGAAGACCTATAGGATGGCCTCTGTTTTTTTTTTATAAAACTTGCTTTAGAAAATTTGAAGATGTGGTGACTCAACATAAGTATTTTAGTCGTGTCATAATTGCAGGAATATCTCTGATTTAATAAGTGAATCACTTTGCGCGTATCGATAAAAATAATACGCGAATGTAAATACGGATTTCACCTGAAAGCTGAAGTTTTGTAGCACGTATTTATTTACATGAATTGTGCGGACATAATAAGTCCCGAGGGCCGATATCATGATGACCCTTGATGACTCGTAAATGTACAGTTTCGTCGTGTGTTGTATGATATAAGATACAATCGTAACGGTCATCCGACTTACCTTAAAATGGTGTTTCGGGAATTCGGCTGTCTAACTGTTCACAGCCGCACACTAAGCTTTCAAATATTTTTTTTATAAATGACTTAAACTAATGAATGTAGGTACAATGAATTATTGTGAACTAACAATAATTGACATGACTTAATTCAATTTTTTTCTTACTGGACAATAAATTATTTTAGTATTCATACGTTATACCAATAGTTATAAAAGAGCACGCGATATTTTTTTCCTGTTGTAGTGTTGTTGTGAATAAAACGCGAATTCATTACCTACATATATTTATATCAGATTTTTCTGAAATAAAGTACGTATACAGCCCAATTAAATACATATACATCTAGTAATCAGATAATACTGTAACTTATATTCGTCAAAGACTTTCCATTTAAAGATCAATGTCTCGAGGTTAGGTCCTTCGCCCGTGATGTCAGAAGTCAGAACTAAAGAAAAGCCTGTGGCCGGCAGCCATTCGTCATTAGACTGCTTACTTTAAATTAAAAACCTCTACTATGTATCCTTGTGCGGTTTCACGCATCTCGCAATGAACTCATTTAATATTTTGTTTCAGGTTATTTATTATTTAAGGAATTCTGTGAACAAACGTCAGAAGAACCAGTGCCACAATTAAAGTTTTACGAGGAGGTAATAAATAGTTTTTATACAATTGAACTTAACGTTTGAATCCATGTTTATTTGTATATTTTTCCAAGATTTTCATAGAGACTCAGTCTGATTGAATTGTTGCAGATCAAATTATATGAAAAGCAAGAATGCGTGGAGGAGAGGCGGCGGATCGCAAGAGACATTTACGATAATTTTATTATGAAAGAACTCCTTGCTCATTCCCACGTAAGTATAATAGCTGGATATAACTCACTTTGTTATTATTAAATTTGCAAGTGAGATTTACGAGTTGTTTGAAGTATTGGAAGGGCAAATAATATTTGTTTTCTAAATATTGTAACTGGAGTATTTTTGGTTTTGGTATCTACTAGTAACTACTAATAAGTCGTTGAACTCGTAATAAACTAATAAATTTACTACGTAACATCATCATCTATCTAATGTCTCCTAAATAAAAGTAAATTACATTGACATGTGATTTGTTCGTTAAAATTGAGATTGCGATTGGCTTCTAAAGTCTTTAACTAACTTTGAATGAGACTTTAAGTACATACTTTTGGCGTCGTTCCAAGAGAATGCCACACAATGCTTTAATCCTAATCGTCATGGATTTTATACTATCGTATCGCATCCGAGCAAATCTGATTGTCTTAAATGCGCAATTCTATCAACGACACTGGCTCTTGATACATAGTAGTCTTCATTAAGATTAAACGGAATGCACCAACACACTTTAAAAAGATAAATCGCCATGGAATGCTTTAACTGAATATTATTAATATTTATAGGAATCTAAAGCTCTAAGCCTTCTCCATAGTGAGAGTACGACATCGACATTGAAAATATATCTGCTTTTGTGTGGCCCGTCAGGTAATGAAACAGCCATAGTTTGCGTTTGCTGTTTATCAACACGGGCGAATAAAGTACCTCTATAAATTCCCTTCGACGCGACCTAATTCCTCTTAAAGATACCGTTAAAAGTGTAGAAGCTCCTTGAATAAATTGAAGAATTCGAACGTCTCCCTCGCTTTGTTTCCCTTCCCATCTGGAGCGGTGCTGCCAGACCTTTTAGCAATTTCAGCATTGCATATACAAATCGATTTGTTGATTTAGATTATCCAACTGTTTATTTCCAGGATTATTCTAAAGAGTGTGTAGCGCATGTACAGAAATATCTATTGAAACACGAAGTACCACCGAACCTATTTGAGGTAAATATTTTCCCTCGAGGTTATTTTTCCTCTTTTCGATGTTGCATAATATAACAGTTTGCATTTTTCAGCCATACATTGAAGAGATATTTCAACATTTAAGAGGCGAGCCATTCAGAAGTTTTCTAGAAAGGTATGCTCTTTTCAATATTAATTTATTTTTGTTCAATTTATATTTTAAATATAATTACAAAAATTTATAGTATAAATTAATGATTAATTAAATATAGTGACCGAAGTGTTTTACACTATAGATAAATTCCTAGTATTCATTGTTTTACCTATAAAAATCGGAGTATAAAATGTTTTTAGTTTTCTAACTGACAATTTGAAATTGATTTCATCTATGTTTCGCAGCGACAAATACACGAGGTTTTGCCAATGGAAGAATTTAGAGCTGAACATACAACTAACGATGAATGACTTCAGCGTACATCGCATTATCGGGCGAGGAGGCTTCGGCGAAGTAAGCAAATTATCACGTACCGTTTGTTTGAGCTTTGAGATTATCATGTGACGACACCGACACGAAGTAGTTAATAGTGTAAATTTGATCATCAAATATTTTTAGGATTAAATATTAACTATTTTTAAATATATGCTACGCTTCAATTATATAACGACTGTTTGAAGTCACATGTGTACAATGAAACAATAATTGTTCCGAGGTTAAAAAAGACACATGAAAAAAAAAATTAAAAAGTTGGTATATTCATCCTCTGACTTTTCGTTACGAGAGCATTAAATATCCTAAATATTTATTAGTTTGTTTATATACGGTCAAAAAGTATAATGTTAATAGGGAATACCTACACAGTTCTAAGAAGTGTTTTTGTACAAAGGTGTACGGATGCAGGAAAGCTGACACAGGAAAAATGTACGCAATGAAATGTCTCGACAAGAAACGTATAAAGATGAAGCAAGGTGAAACCCTCGCGCTCAACGAGCGAATTATGCTCTCTCTAGTCAGTACCGGGGTGAGTTCGTCAAAGCTTTTTTACATTAAATTAACTATTCACTAATACATTATTTGGCAATACGTGGGGTCCAAGGTAGCCCAAAATATTTACATAATTATAGAAAAGTGCCACACCCTTTTTCTAATACGATTAGGAAAGAGTATGCATTGAACTATTGAAGTTTGGCATGTAAATGCTAAAATGTGTTTTCGCTAGTCGATAATGCATTTAGCGAACTCAAGCGAAATGATCGCTAATTTGAATCTTCCCGCAGTCGTTAACACTTTATATTACATTTAATCACCAAATAAAACAGAGACTGCTCAGAAAACAATCTCTTAAAAGATATCTTAAATAAGGACTGAATACCAATACTTCTAACGTTATATATAAGGGAAATATGATATAAAAATTATAGTGACTGCTTACAATCCAGCGTCTGTTTAAATTTATAGAATCAATCGACTCGAACGCCCACAAATAAACTACACTTAATATTAGTTAGTTAATTGTAGAGAGGACAAACACATTTGTATTCGAAGGATTAAGTTACATTCAGAGTCATAATAACGGGAATTATTTTACAACATATCTTGTTTGTCTATATGTTATTAAGCAATTGTTAGTTAATGTATATGTAAGTTAGTTTAGTATTTTACAACGATTAATAACACAATGTTTTGCAATTATTAAAATTCTTCCCTCTTCGTTTTTCTTTATACAGTTTGCCGGACATTCATAATTACATACAGAGTTGTTATCAAATTGAAACATGTTTGTGTTTTTATTACGAAAGTAAATTTATATTAAAATAGTCTAAATTCACTTTTGTCGTGAAGCTCTGGGATTCACAGTAAACATGCTTAGTTATTTTTATTACACTATCATTTTGGATGTTTATGGTGAGGCCAGCGATTTTTCCTTCTTTATGATCATGTATGCCTTGGTATGGTAAACAATGTTTTCGCGTAAAAATAGAGTGGCTTTACCACATATCCCATGTTCGTAAATATTCATTTATCTTCAGATATATTTCCTATAATATTTTTAGCCTTTATTCTCGTCCGATAAAGTGTAAAATTAATAAAATCTAATTTGTACTAACATAACAACTATTTCTCAATCGTTCAATTTCACTCGAACAACATGTAATTTGGACGAATATTAATATTTTCATAGTATTAAATAACGACGTTACTTTCTATCATAGTCAGACGCAGACAAAGTCAGCTCTAGTCAAATTGTTTATTTGTCGAAAATCATATACATATTACGTAAGGCAGAGAGAGATTCACCAACCCAACGCACATTATCATCTACCGAGTTTAGCATAATTAAGTGATTGTAATCGGATTGCGAATGTGGGTTATTATCAATATTGATAACGGTCTACTTTGATTCAGGACAATGGCTGTATATAATATATATAGGTAATAAGCGATATTGCATCGGGGACAAACGATATCCAGCCAATTGGACTGAAACGAATTGGCTCGCCCTCAATTTGTCGACGGGCTCCAATCCGCTTCCGCTGCATTTTGTTTTATAATCCCAATTGATTCTTTCCCTGTCATTCAAATACGGGAAGTCCGATTTAATAGATTGCATATATTCATCTCATTCTTATTCGTATTTCGACCCTATAAGAGTTAGCGGCTCGCATCCTTGCCTAAAAGCCTTGCCGTAACTTTAACAAGGTTGCCGGTGTTCGAGCTTCGCGAAGGCATATCGCTCCATTTCTGTGTAATATTTATGTAGAGTTTCGACGTGACGTTTTCTCGAGCTCGTTTGGAATAAACGATTTAGTTTTATGTTAGGGGCTAACGAAATTCGACTTTTACGGTTGTCCGATATTACGGCGTTTATGCCTAAGCACTTTCATATACTCGGGCGACGCGATAAAAACGCTGTAAACCTCCTCCGTTTTATAGAAATCTCGGGAGAGTTCGATAAATTAGATATTAATCGCATATTGCAACCCGTGGATTGCAATTACCGAGTAAACGTATTGGAGAGTATTAGATGTAGTTAAATTTTAATGGATATCAGCTCATTCGGACGGACGACTGAGCTTATCTTTTATGAGCAGTCGTCTGGTTGGTTGGCGCCGCCTCGTCTGCCACTGTCCTACAAAATAACACTGAGGAGAATCTTGTTTCGGACACGCCTTGTCTAGATGAAACATCAGCATTTGGCATACGGAGGTGTATTGATAATTAAATCCATTCTATTTCAGTATATTGTATCTATTAACGTTAACGTTGTGGGCCCTGCTTCCTTTATTCATAATGCTACGTAATTCATACGCGTCGTACTGGTTAATTCTGTTGAAGAAGTATTTAATGTGGATGGTTTCAATATAATTGTTTCTATTGATATGACAGAAATTAGTATTGTCTTTTATTGACATAACCTTTACACATTTAAAGAAAAAACTTTTTAACCGGATTAAAGTTATGTATTATTATAAATTTACAATTGTTTAACATAATTTTTTTAATTTTTTAACACCTTTTGTCTTCAGTCACCGTGACCACGCACGCTGTAAAGCACGCGAAATGTCGGATAAATTTAAAATTATGTTAAATAATTGTAAATTTATAATAATACATAACTTTAATCCGGTTAAAAAGTTTTTTCTTTAAACGACAGAAGTTGTTATTACGATTTCAATATTAATTTGACTATTGATGTGTGACCCCCAGCAGCCTTTTGTTCTCAGAGGTGATCAGTGATCTCCTACGGTCCACGTTTTGATCTGTCAAAGTATATTTATTTTATTTATTTATTTACACTTCGTTGCATTACAATATAAAAATTTAACATAATTAAAGGACGGCAACTTAAATCAAATCAAAATACGTTTATTCAGTTTAGATGCGTCTAAGCGCATGCTTAGATATTAATGTCAAAAACGTTTACAAAATTCGCGAAAGAGCAAGACTACGCCATCCGTTCGCAAAATGGCCAGGAGGCCTTGTTCTGAGAAGAACGGGCAAGAAACTCAGCCAGTTTTACCCTCCCTCTACATTACAATTATTCAAAGGAAAATGTTGATGAAACTGACGGCCTTATCGCTTTCTAGCAATCTCTTCCAGGCAACCACTGTGAGAAAAGAAAATATATAGTTAAGCAAATCGAGACGAACCGACGAGCCCGTACGTAATAAAGCCAGTAATAGTGTACTCACATGAATCACATGGCCGATGGCTGTGCGGGCCAAACAAAGGGGACGCATTCGTAACAAAACATAATTATCGCTTCCGCTTTTCCTACCTACTGATGTTTACTAGTTGGTGCTATTTTAGCATTATTTACATTTTTGTTATTCCAGTTAAATATCTATAAATACGTAAATGCAAGCAGCAAACACTTATTTACTAATGAATGTGTGATTTTTCAATTTATTTTCTTTAAGAAGGAAGAAATCCTTCCCAACATAATTCCGTAAACTTACTAAAAATAAAAACGTGCAAAATAAAATCCGATTATTCGATCGTGTTCCTAAAATTTTAGTGATTTACAGTCAAATTTCGGCTACATCCGCCAATTTAAATAAACAGTCCGACCGATTTTACGCGTCCACTGTAAATGAAATGTTCGACAAGGCGCATATATGTATCGAATAAGTGATAGAATAAATAAAGGATCCATCGAACTCGCATTGAATAAACATCAAAGAAATATTCTCGTTCGCCCGATCATTCCATACGATCGAGAAGATATCGTCTCGTGTACAAAGAGTTTGCTCACGCGAAGGAAAATAAACACAAAAGGAAGTTTGAAATTTCCCAACGGCGACGAGTGACGTCACCAGGTCAGGTGAATCGCCCGATATTCTATAGATCAGGATGTGGCTCAATTTATCCTCGTCGTGTTTGAAGCTAAAAATTCTAAGTGCGGTGCTACATGTGCATACAGATAGCAGAAACGATAGCATTGCTTACGTTCTTTCACCGAGGGTATTAAAAAATTCCAAAAAGGTATTATTTTTTGCAGTAGTCGCGTTGTCAAAAAGCAATACCTACATACTCTCTATAGGAATAACATTTTGCTTGTACTAAGCAGGTAATATAAAAAAACCAGGGCTATTTACGACACACAGGAAGTTTAATCTATAGTACTGTATGTAAAAGTCGTAACAATGAAATTGTCGCCTTAAATTCAGTGCATTCGTAATTCGCGTTACAGGTGGACTGCCCATTCATAGTGTGTATGACGTACGCCTTCCATACACCCGACAAGCTTTGCTTCATATTGGATCTCATGAATGGCGGAGATCTTCATTATCACCTGTCGCAGCACGGTGTCTTCAATGAGGCTGAAATGAAGTTTTACGCCGCTGAAGTTATATTAGGTATGATTTTACAAGTTCCTCGCGACTTCATGAGATTGGTTTCAGGTCTGAAGCTGTAGTAAAGTCTAAGCCCCGCAAAGAAGACCGTGAATCATGCTCAAACCTGTATAATATATCGGTATTGCCAGAAATTTATAACCTTATACAACTTGTAGTCAAATAAAATTGTAGTAAAATTCGTCATAATAGATAAAAAATCTTTAAAGCTGCCTAAATACCTCACTGGAAAATTTAGCGTCACTAGAACTAATTAGGTATTTTTTATTAGAGGTAATAGTTTTAACGTTAGATTACTGTGTGTTAGGTGTAGCGTATAATGCATTAAAAATACGAAATGAAGAGGAAAAATAGTTTAAACGATCGCAGAATCAACATCTGTATCCTAAATGACGTAAGCGTCATTTCGATTATAAAAGATGAATCCGTATCAAAACGAAAGTCATAACGATATCATAAATAGCCGGTTCAAAAATAGTCCGTGATGGTTTGTTTAAAACCGTAGCAAGTGGAACGTGTGGCCATTAATATTAACGGGGACTCGGGATGCAAGTACCCGATTGCTTCGGTTAACCGCTGAGACAAAAGCGTTTCCAATAAATGCTACGTTTTTCGTTTTAAAACATACTCACGTACCGTTCGACTGCAATTGAGCTGTATAAATGTTTATGAAATGAATTGTAACTTGGTAACGTTTTTTAGAGGTTTATCGTCATCAATTAACATTAAAATGAAGAAGAAATGTGGTTGTTATTTGTGATATGGAAAATTTGCATAATTTTCATTCACGTTTAGACAATATAAAGCAACTATCATTGAATATTACCAGGACTGGAGCATATGCACAAACGTCACATCGTGTACAGAGATTTGAAGCCTGCGAACATCTTACTGGATGAGCACGGTCACGTCAGGATATCGGACTTGGGTCTCGCCTGTGATTTCTCCAAGAAGAAACCTCACGCTAGTGTGTAAGTAAAAATAGCGAACTGGTCTAGATTGGTTTAGCAATAGCCAGTCCTATGTGGCTTGGATTCTAGAGAGATCTGGTTGGTCTCTTCTCATACAGTACATACAGTCATAAATATTAACCGCCCACTTGGGAGTCTCAGTAACGCCGTGACAAAACGACCAGGATCGTCTAAATACTGCGGCTACAACTTTTTCTAAAAGAGTGAAATAAAAATTTCAGCGGAACCCACGGCTACATGGCGCCCGAAGTGCTGTCCAAGGGCACGGGCTACGACTCCTCGGCAGACTGGTTCAGTTTCGGGTGCATGCTTTACAAACTGCTCAAAGGCCACTCGCCCTTCCGCCAACACAAGACCAAGGACAAACACGAGATCGATCGGATGACCTTGACCATGGTAAATATAAGATTACTGTTACATCTCTCGTATCTGCTATTTTAAAGTTATTCTATACATTCTACTTTGTACCTTTAATTAATTAAATTTAAATTAACCCCGAATTATTGCGTACATAAAAAAAATCAGAGGCACTACAATCTTTTTAGGTCTGGGCCTCAGATTTCTGTTTCATGATCATTTGTTAATCTAATAAGCAAGTAGGTGATCGGGCTCCTGTGCTTGACACACGACGTCGACTTTTTGGGTCTTATGCCGGGGTTTCCTCACGATGTTTTCCTTCACCGTTCGAGCGAATGTTAAATGCGCACATAGAAAGAAGGTCAATTGATGCACAGCCGAGGATCGAATCTACGACCTCGGCGGTGAGAGTCTCACGCCGAACCTCTAGGCCGACACTGCGTTATCTTCTCAATAGCACAGTTAATCATATTCACCGTGATCTATGTAAATCGCCGTGTTCTGCGCTCAAGTTTAATCTCGGGTCAACTGAGAGGTCGAATCTCGAAGTGGGTCGATCGACGTCATTGCTATTTTGTAATGTATATTGAATTTCAATGTTTTCCGTCATTTGAACCGATCAATAATTGTAATTGACGTCATAGATAACTTTTTAATCGCTAAATTAATAATTATCAGTAATGCTATGAAAAAATATGTACTGTTAATACGTTTGACGCGATACTTTTGAGTGTTGTTTGAGAATTTTTTTATATATTTTACTTAATATGCTTATTTTGTGACGCAACAGAATGAATGCTCATTTTATTTGCAAAGTAATTTATAAAAAAAACCCCTTTAAATAGTCGAATACCACTTTTGCCATCTTCGAAAATTATTCAAGACATAATAATTGAAGTCGCACCAGTGAACGATGTCGATGAAAATGAAAATTGCTATTTATAGTATTAAGTTTCGATTGATTTGATTATATCATGTTAGCGTTAGAAATATAATGTTCACCAGAACGTGGAACTGCCGGAGTCCTTCAGCCCGAGTCTGAAGAGTCTGCTCGAAGGTCTGCTGCAGAGGGACATCAACAAGAGACTCGGCTGCAAGGGCAAAGGGTGAGTCTTTGTCACTGGGTTGTTTATATTTTGAAAAAATAATTATAACTCTTCAGACATACAAATCCTTTTTGAAGTGAAACTTCTTTAGGCGCATAAGGGGTAAATTTTTACGAATGAAACGTCACGAAAATGTGCAGCGTTTTTGTCGAAGAAAAGGGATAGAGCGATTGAGACCGCTTGAGAGAGAGTGAGAAGGGCAAATTACCTTATAGAAATTCTATTTTTAAAATTAAAATTTCGTAAAGAGAATTTATGAAATATTAGTATCTTATATTTTATGAAAAATATTTTATTGTAATCTCAAATGACGAATTGTAAATTAAAATGCCACGTGTTTCTAGAAGAAATATTTATTTTTATTTTTATTTGTGTTAGTTTTCGACTCTTAATGTTTTAGATTTGTATAAATATAACAAGAGTTAAAAATTTGTTTGCCAAAGAAATATCACTTCTGACATGTGTACTTTGTACGCACGCACTTTACATTTTTATTTTATTTTAATTAATGGATCCATCGTCTCATTAAAGTCAATTGCCAATCAATGACAACGACACAGCAAACAAAATAAATACTAATAAACCTGGCGATCCTTAATCACATGATCACAGGGCGGACGAAGTGAAGGAGCACGTGTTCTTCGCCGGAATCGATTGGCAACAAGTGTACCACCAGAAATACACTCCGCCCCTCATCCCGCCCAGGGGCGAGGTCAACGCCGCCGACGCCTTCGACATCGGCAGCTTCGACGAGGAGGACACGAAGGGAATCAAGGTATCGTCTTCGTTAAATATTGAGCAAATTCTCAGTCGTTTAGTTCGACGATCGAATGGGCCGAGTGTAGTTTTATGAATATACGAATTTCAGCTCACCGAATCGGACCAAGCGCAGTACAAGGACTTTCCCCTGGTCATATCCGAACGCTGGCAGAGCGAAGTGGCCGAGACGGTGTTCGAAACCGTCAACCAGGAGGCCGATAAAATGGAGATGAAGAAGAAATCCAAGCAGAAACAGAAGTTCGACGCTGACGAGAAAGGTTCGCGTGCACAGTGGCCTATTTGTACGTGAATTTCAATTCGAGTAAATTCGGTTCACGATTTCAGAATCCGACTGCATACTCCACGGCTACATCAAGAAGCTGGGCGGCCCCTTCGCCAGCGCGTGGCAGACTCGATACGCCAAACTGTACCCTAATCGACTCGAGTTGCACCTGGAGAACAGCGCTAAGCCGGAAATGATTCTGCTGGACATAGTCGAGGAGGTCTCCTCCGACCTCGTCTCCGTGAAGGGAGAGCAGTGCATCGTGCTCAGAACCAGAAACGACACGAAGATCGTGCTCACCAACACGGTGAGCTCGACACTCACACGAATCGCCCTCTCGATTGTGGGAATAGTTTTTCACTATAATTTTAAATTGCAGGACGAAATCGGTCTGAAGGAATGGGCGACTTCGCTCCGCTCCGCCCACAAGTGCTCCCAGGAGCTGCTCGCCTCGATGGCGAAGAAGGCCGGCAAGATATACGGCACCGACGGGGCGAAAGAGCCGGCCTCGGGGCGGCCCCCTCCGGCGGCGTCGCCGGCCCTCACGAGAGCCCCCAACGGGAACAACTAGCACGAGCTTCCCGCGCCCAACAAGGGCGCGAAGATGTTCCGCCGCTCCAAGAGCGCCGCCCAACTCATCAAGTGAACCGACCCTCGGCTCGTCTCCGAAAGTGTGGAGTGACAGTTGGGCCTCGGAGCTCCGAAGCACAGTGACAATTAGGACTGCCAATTTTTAGTAAGCTAATGCGGCGCGGGCGCATTCTTTAGTCGTCGGACGAATCGTGTGATCTTTTCGATAATTTCGAAACTCTGTAACTATGACTTTCTGGATGTCGTATTAACTATGTGGGTAGGGTTAGGCATTGTAAAGTTAAATATGAACGGTTGACGCGACGTCAATCGGTTAATCGGACGTAGCGTTTACGTGTTTTGTGCAATAGATCGATCCTATTAGTGACGAAGGATTAGAATTACGCTGCGTTTTAAATATTACATTTGGATTAGGACTCTCGCACGTAGAGAATCGTCATAGATCTAAATTACTCAATTTATTTTATATCGACCGGCTCTCTCTCTCTCTCTCGCGAGTGATTGGTGAATAAAAAGTTCCTTTTGATGAAATACAGCACTGTACTATTTATTATTTTTAATTTGTACTTAAAATTTCCATTCGGGTCAACACTTGCTACGTGTTTAAGTTTCGTTGTTATTTATTTACATAGATTTGACGTAAGTAGGCGTAACTTTTTCTATTCGTACAGTTAGAGGCAATAATCTTCTAACGATCTTTCGAACCGTTCACCGTTTATGGGATTTACCGACTCTTTTCGACCGCTTCCTTCCTGTTCCGCGGAACTCGACTGCGACTCGATCACATCGCGACGAACAGTTCTAACTGATGCAGATTTAGTTCGACGGTTTCGGAAACGTCTCTCACTATCGAGAGCGCTATAATGTATATATTTATTTTTTAATCGTTGGAACTTGCACTTTTCTATATATTTTATAAACGATGTGAGTTAGTTCGTGTAAAGGTTTGCATTTGTAATGGGAAGTGTGCTCACTGCTACTTGACGTAATGAAATAGAGATAGATTTACACCAGTGCAGTGGGCCAATCTTAAAACACCAATACAATGGTCATTTAGAGGTAAATGATACTCGAGAGGAAACTTCGACGCGAGTCGGAATAAAAATGAAACGTAGCTATTTTGAAAGGTTCGTCTATAGTGGTAGCTCATAAATACCTTTTTAGTCCTCTTCTGCCTTTTTTAATTGTAATGTATTGCTTATATTTCAAAGTTGAGAACCGATTTTAAAAGAACAGTTTTATACAGTACAACAATGTACCCGTTATTATGGTATAGTATTTCTATTCTTTGTACATTTTCAAATTTGTTATTAGAGAGTTAACGAAGTAACTAAATAGAATAGAATTAGATTCTAGTCAATTAAATGTACGATACTGAACCCGTTGGATTAGGGTGAAATTTAAGTATAGTGGTGAATGTGTAAGCAGTATTATAGGTTAGTTGAATTGTCAGCCTGTTGTGATAATTTTTCATATTCTATGGACACTTCCTAGTCGTTTACGTTCAGTTTTCTTATAAAATTTAATATGAATAGATTTTTTTCATAAAAATTTGTAATAATGTAAATACTGCAATTCTTTACATTCCTAGATCACAAATGTGTACGAGCAATAGAAATGAATTTACTTTCGAGTGCTTCCTTTGCACTCGGCCATCGCTCTTCGGTCGGGGCGAAGGGCTAAATCTGCATCAGACGTTGACTCGTCGTAGATACCTCTGTTAGATATTTTTATTGTGAACCTACATTATATGTAGTAAATTGTTTATTTAATCAATCTGTTGTTTTACTGTTGCGCTACCTTTCTTTATTCCTGTGTTCTCAAATCTACAAAAGTATTTTTCGATGTCACTATGAATTGTCAAAATGACAGAATTTATAAATAATATTTTACAAAAAATGGGTGTCGATACAATAATTTTCTACTCTTCCCTGGTCATGTGCATAACACTGGGCAGTTATTACAAAAAGATATCGGAGGTTAATCTTAAACGTAACTTTGGAAGTGGTCTCGGTTTTCTGGTGTCTTGTCTGATTTGTGGAACCCAAATATATCACACCGTGCTACTGGTGTGGGGAAACATTGTTATCATAAAATGTTGCGATAGAAGGTAACATTTGGGAATTCGATCAGTAACTTTATCGATCGCTTTGATAATCGACGATATTTTCAGATACCTTCACCAAATAAGTCTAGCGTACACGTGGATGTATTTATTCTATTTGCACTACTATTTAGCTCACAGTTACGTGATTTGGATCTATCAGACGCTCGCCTTGAGACTGGTCGGACTTGCCTTTGAAATCCATTTAGCTCATAGGGCGAAAGGTGAAACTCGAGTCAGCGTCACAAGAGTCACCATTGGCGATAGCGATCTTATCACAAACGACCCGAGCGCAGTCGATATTATAACGTATGCGTATTTTTTCATAGGATTGCATAAAGGTAAACTTCACAAATTCTAATATTTCGTATCAGAAAATGACGAGGGACCTGATACTGCCTTCCGTCTCCGCATCTTTGACGGTCAGGCAGTTAGACATAGACAAAACATTTATTACTAACGAAACAAAATAATAATAATCAAAAAAGAAAAATAACAAAAAATTACACTTGAATTCGTTTTGTGCAAAATGGGTTGAATTTTTGGGAAAAGGTTAAAATTTTACCTTAAAAATACTATGATCTATAGATTTTTTCAATGTGGTATTTTAGGAAGCTACAATTTATTATTTCAGGGCCTTACTATAGATGGAAAATCTTCGAAGATCATTTTAGCTCACCTTTCGCGACTTTGGGTGATTGTCGTGTAATAACTGAACAAAAACTGAAGAAAGCGTGCTTGTGCGCATTGGGTTATATGCTTCTGCGAATGAAGTATTCTCCCGAGGTATAATTATGTTTTCCAGCGCAGATTTTCTGCCTTTTCTCTTTAAAAACTAATAAACAAATACTGACTCCTGCACATACAACTTTTAGTTCTACTACATGGACGAATTTTATACGGGTGATTACGGAACGGACTTTCGCTACCTATACAATATACCACAACTGATGACATACTTTCTGTTTTATCAAATAACAATGCTTCTATGTACGAGTGTGTGCACGGAGACAGGTTTTGGCGTTTATCCGGCTAAATGTGTCCCCATACCAGGATTCGGACCTTCCGCTCGGTTCAGCCTTTTAAAAGTAGCGTAAGTATTTTAAATTGTTGGGAAGGTAAGAAAATTACACTTGTAAAGGAAAAGGCAAGTTAAAACTGTCTTTTAATTTTTGAGCAGGTGCCTACAACATATATTATATCATATGTAGCCCCTGGTTTCTTCGACAGATCATTTCAAGGCTGGGTTTTTAATACATGTTATACCTAATTGTTAGTGGTAGATTTTTCTATAGTGAAAGAAAATACCACTTTTACGGTAAACGTACGACTCATACCAATTAAGATAGAGTCCACGTGTTGGTATAGTCTCATCCATATTTTAAGCGCTGGTACGACTGAAGCAGCGATACAAGAGGAATACAATTTTTCGATGTTAAAATGCTTCGATCATGAGAAATTACTGATTGGACCAAAAATGAAAGACAGTGTCCGAAGTTGGGATATGCCCACCCGCTTTTGGTTCTGGGCAAATGTTTATAAGACTTCATTGAGAGCAAACAAAGAAGTTCGGTGAGTTACCGTTAAATCGTGATTTAATATAAAGAGCGTCTTCAAAATCTAATGAAAATAAGTTTAGTTCCTCTAATACATTCTATTATATAATGATAATTTGTATTATACTGTAACTGATTAATTCAGCAGATTGCCCCGTGTAGTCTACGTAAACCACTTAGCTAATGATAGATACATTATTACCCTTATCATTTTATTTATAGATTAAGTTATAATAAATGCAGAGGACAGTATTGTTGCCATATAGTAGATAACATTTCAACAAAATTTAATAATATTACGATAATGATAAGTAGAGTAACAGTCCTATTATAGTTTACCAAGGCAAAACATAAAACAAATTCATGGATACGAATGAATTATTAACTCTTTTTACTAAATTTAACTATCTCTAGCAGCGAAAAGGTATCGTAGAATTAAGGTCAGAGGAGCTTCAACCAAATCTCGTCATGTCTTAATTCCACTTACTACGACATGATTTACTTCGCGACACTATAACAATGGTTACAGAAGTGCGTGGTCATTTTTCGCGTGGACAATATGGTGCAGCCCAACTTTGCCTCAAACCATTATCTCGGCGACTCTGTGGGTCTACATCCATTTAGAATCCGAGTACGGCGAACTGTATGACACTTCCGGAACGGTAATTAAGTCATCGTAATTTGGTACCAAGTTTCATTGGCCGTAATAATCTCGTACTGATAAGAACCGGTTTGTACTTTGTACAACACTGGATAACGTTGATGAACACTACATTGTGCGGGTTTAAATTAACTAAATGTAAACTAGAGATAATAATTAGTGTAATTAAACTAAAGTATATGAAATATGTTGTATAGGTTTTTCAATAAGAGCTTATGCAGGTATTTTGTAGAAATTTACAATCTTCATCGTACATATAAAAAGTTATATAAAAATAAGACATAAAAAGACCATAACAATGGATAGAGTTGATCCTGGGATCAAGTTAATAAAAACGCCCGTTATCGAAATAAATAATATTTTACGTTAGTCTCGATAACCATAGGTATATAGAATAAGTTGAGGTCGTTTTGTCGCTCACGGGCAGAAACACAAATAAAATGTAGATTGTGCTCTTGCGCAAACGCAAGTATATCTAGTACCTAGTTGTAGTTACTTGTTTATTCAAATGAAATTGATATAATTTTTCAGATGAAACTGCCATGGGATATTGGATTCTCAATAATGCGTCTTTTCTGTCTTATCTATTTGACCCCTTGCTTCATTGTTAGCGATACCAGTGTTGTGCTACGTTACTACAACTCAATATATTGGATATTTCATGTAATACTATTCGCTTTGATGGTAGCTGCCATCGTCATTTATAAATTGAGAGGGGAGTAAATGAAAGACGATTAAATATTAAATATTCGGAAGTGGTTTCATTTTGATTCTTGTAATTATGGCCAGAATGAATATGAAATATAAATCTAGTATCTACAACCATTGCATTTGTTTAAATTAATTAATTTAAATATTATTTTTGGACAAGAAGGTGTCTGAAAATGTTGTTGATTATTGGGTCCGATTTGGTATCCTTTAGTTTGGGAGTTTATCGTAATAAAATTATCTTACCTTTTATCGTTGGTAGTAGGTATTATTTTTAGTTAGTAATAGCAAAAAAAAATTAATGTGTAAATGAAGCTGTCATAATCAATGAGTTTGTAACGATATCCTAGTATGGGGAAACTTTTAATTTAATTAACTAAAGCCTTTTTTTTAACTATTCTATTTTTGTAGTGAGTTACAGTTTATATCATTTTACTTTTATTTTCTAATTGTAACAAAATTAAAAACAATATTGATTTAAGCTAAAATTCCATAACATGGTTGGACTAAACCATATGTTTAAACAATTAATTATTTCCGCAGCTGTTAATAAACCGTATCTATTAATCCTTATCAAGACATTATTAAATGCCAGTAATGTTTTATAATGTGTCATAATTAAATTCCTAAGATATAATGAGTACAGGCAAAATGATAGTTAAATTAAACCTATGTAATAAAACCAACACAAACTAATAATTGTACTTTTATTTTCTAATTATAACAAAATTAACAACAATATTGATTTAAGCTAAAATTACATAACAAAAATGGAAAACACAGACATATTTTTGGAAGACTTCATTGGTCGGTTCATATTTAAATAATGATTAGGCGTGACATTTCTTATGTACACATAATACTGTATATCCTTATCTAAACAAAGTAAATTAGCAACTAAAATATAATATGTTGCCACAGTATTCTGTTATCTGGCTGATTCATATCTATTTTTAAGAGACAACACAGTAACAAGCTAGACTTATTTATTATCCACCCTAATAAAAACCATTATTAACTTGTATTATTGTCTTCTTTCTCAAAATTTTCATAACATTATATTAAATGCGACAGATAACTTTGTAACTTTTATACATAAGTTGTTGTGCAACAAATTAAGCACTTTGTCAATTAAGTTTTATCTCAGTAGCTGTTATGTTGATTTTGGGCTCCTCAATAATCTGCTTGTTTTGAATTAGTCGTAGCTCTATCAGCTTGGGTGGAATCTTTCCAGTCGGTTGAATTCCTGAAATTTTTATTATTATTAAGAATGTAAATGAATAATTGTTTGTTTTAAACAAATAAATTATCTAATAGCTCTACAAAGATAATGAAGTATTTATAATCTTAATTAGCCTTTGCTTGTATGTTCACATGGAGCAGTGTTGGTCTAGTGGCTTCAGCGTGCGACTTATACCCGAGGTCGTAAGTTCGATCCCTGGCTGTGCACCAATGGACTTTCTTTCTATGTGCGCATTTAACATTTGTTAGGCACTGGAGGCCGATCACCTACTTGCCTATTAGATTTTAAAAATGATCATGAAACAGATTCAGAAATGTGAGGCCAAGACCTAAATAGAGGTTGTAGCGCCACTGATTTTTTTTGGTATGTTCACATAATTCACATATAAAGCCTTTACAAATATTTTATAAAATCTTACTTCTAGCATTATCATAGGTGTCTTTGACAATAGCTTGCAGTGTGGCGATGGTTTGCTCTAATGTTAACTTTAAATTGTTTTTAGTTCTGTATGACCATGCTAAAAACAATGCTGCAAATAAATCTCCTGTGCCTGTGAAGGTTGCGTCTACTTTTGGTATCTGTACCTGGTAACAGCAATCTAAAAATTTAAATGGCATATAATCACATTCAAAATAAACTAATTATATGCAATACCTAATCCATTTAGTTTGTACACAAAATGTATACCTTTATTGCTGGCAATGGCAATCATGTTATTTTCATCTCCTAAGTCTGTACTTGACAGGACAACTGTTTTCACGCCTTTATTATGTAGAGCTTGTATTACTTTTACAGCCCCGTCCAAATCTTTCATAGTCAACCCAGTCAATAATTCTGCTTCAAATTGGTTAGGGGTCAAAATGTCAGCTAATGGTACCACATCATCCCTATAAACTGGCAAAATGCTCTCGGGCACATAGAGTTTACCATTATCACCCATGACAGGATCACATACTAGAATCATATAAAAAAATATACTCTACAGTGTTAACATACTACAATTTAATAATTTAAATTAAGCCAAGGTAACTTTGAATTGATGTGACACAAGTAGTAAACATTTAAAGTTTGTTTTTTTTGTACATTAACATGTATCAACATTGCAACATTTAAGCAAGACACAACAAGCAAAAACTATAAATTGTGTAACAAAAAGTTTTAGTGTTAAATACTTGACCTACTAAATGTGCATTATCTCAAAGTCATTCAGAATCATGTCACTATAGAAAATGTTAATATAAGTTATCATAATATTTGCATACTCAAAATAACTTAGTTTTATAAAATTAACCATTACTTAAATATACAATTACTTTTAAGTATTACCTACCATAAACTAGATCAGGGTTTTTTACCCTCAAATTTTTAATTATTTGTGCAATCTTTTTCAAGGATTCTGGTGATCTTGAATAGCCTGTTAAAAAGTGTGTATAGTAGTCAACATCATTTAAAACAAGGCCATTTATGAGTTCTTCCATATCCTCATTTTGTAAAATAGTTCCTTTAATATCTTTGTATCCAGTGTGAGTTGAAAATTGCACAGTATTGATAGCGTCAACTTCTAGACCAAGAACCTTAAAACATTGAAATTTTAATATATATTAATAAAATTAACTAATCATATAACATTTTAATAATAATGCAAAGACTTATTAAGATTTATTTATTAACTTACTTGAAGTGGGAATACAGCACTCTTATTTCCCACATAACCATGAACAACATGACTCTGAATAGAAAGAACTCTCGGCGTTGAAGACATGATATTAAAAAAAAAAACACTAAAATCTTTAATTTTAATTAAGAGACTATTAAATATGAATACAATATGAATTAGTTTCTTCGGCTTTACTACTAAATAATAAATTAATAAACTTACACCAAGCAACAGCCTAAGACATAATAACACAGATATCTAATAAATAATAATACATAAGTACTAGTCTACGATATTATCACAACACATAATTATTGTTGATAAGGTAAAAGGTTTGTTAATTGTTACCACCAGGGCTGCCAGAATGTATAATTTTTTTTAAAATTGTGCATAATCAGATTTACTTAGAATGCATTTTTGAAGTGAAACTTCTTTAGGCGCATGAGGGTAAATTTTTTACGGAACATCACGAAGATGTGCAGCGTTTTTGTCAAAGAAAAAGGAGAGAGCGATTGAGAGAGAGAGAGAGAAGGGCGAATTACCTTATAGAAATTCTATTTTTAAAATTAAAATTTTGTAAAGAGAATTAATGACATATTAGTAGGTATTTTATAAAATATAATACAATGATAATAATATAAAATTAATGATGTAATGTATATAGTATAATAGACTAGATAATATGGAAATGTGACTGGGGCTTAGCGAAATCATGAAAAACACAGAAATAAAAATAAATGTCAAATCAGAGCTGTATAACACTTGCATACTTTTAGTATTAACATACGGCTGCCAAACTTGGGCACTCACTAAAATGCAAACCAGGCAACTGAAGACATGCCAGACGGCGATGGAAAGAAGCATGCTAAATATCAGGAAGTCCGATAGAATCAATAATAAAATCATACGAAACCACACGAAGATTGAAGACGGCACAACGAGGATACGAAGATTGAAATGGAAATGGGCTGGTCACGTAATAAGAGGTATAGAAAAGTGGAACAAAAAGATCATATATTGGTACCCAAGAAATAATAAAAGAAAACGAGGTAGACAGTTTCGAAGGTGGGAAGACGAAATAAAATCCGTAACTGGGAAAATTTGGACCAGGAAAGCTCAGAACAGAGCAGAGTGGAAAGAAATGGAGGAGGCCTTTGCCAAAGTTGGGCAAACAGATGGGTTGTCGGTGTCACCGACTCACTAGTGTTAATAGTTTAAGTTTAAAATTATGTAAAATTTTCTATCTGTATTTTATTATTATTATATAGTATAATAGACTAGATAATATAAGAATTGACTTTGACTAATAATGTAAAATTCTTTAAGACAAATTTGCGCGCCATCGTGTGTGGCAGAATATGCGAACGATTTACGATTGTATCACCTTAACATTTTGTACCATATTCTTGCAATAAATAAATAATAATAATTATTATTATAATAATAACAAATTGTAAATTAAAATTCCACGTGTTTTTATTATCGAAGAAATAATTTAAAAAAATTAAATTTATAATGTGTATTAATTTTCGACACTTCTAATATTTTAATGACAATTAAATTCATGAAATTCCTAACATATCTTCCTTTTTCCCTGCCTCAAAGTCTCGGAAATCGAAAGTTTTAGATTTGTATAAATATGAACAAGAGTTAAAAATTAGTATGCCAAAGAAATTTCACTTCTGACATGTGCACTTTGTACGCACGCACTTTTTTTTTATAGAAAGGGGCAAACGCGCAGGAGACTCATCTGATTTTAAGTGACACTTTCAATGCCAAAGGGCTCGCGGCGTTGCCGGCCTTTTAATGATGAACGCTCTTTTCTTGAAGCACCCTTAGTCGAATTGATTCCGAAATACTTCAGTAGAATCAAGTACTCCGAAATACTTCAAGGTCTGCTAGTCGTTCTCCCAGTGCACGAAACGGAGGGCCGATAGAAATCCCCTTCGACAGCTTTTGCAAAAGACCAGAAGGCCCAAGTCCCCGAAGGGAGGCGGGCCAATCCCTCACCAAATCTGGCAATGTAGTTAACTTTGCGCTAGCGATTTCCCGCTTGAAGGACCTGGAGACTTTTTTATTGGCATCACGAGATATCACCGCTTCCGCCCATGCTTTAAACCATTCTCGCTTTCAACGCGAGGTCGTCTTGCAAGCACGTTTCTTTTAAGGCTGTAATAAGCAGCCGATCGGCACCGCAGAAAATGGAATAAGAAGTCCATGCCCTTCAGAACAACTTCTAGGCTCGATCTGCTGATCTATAATACCAAATACGGAGACAGCCCGCAAAGAGCGCGCATAGTAGGCACAGTACTCCGGACTTGGTAGTTTTCTGTTTTGGTATGGCCCGGCCAAATGGGTAGGCCATTTGGCTGAATCCCGAAATAACCTCTGTCACATTCCGACACCGTAAACAATTCCACCATGCTACAAACATGATTTTTTTTAATTCAAGTTGATACAACTTTATATTTAATGTAAAACGATATAATTATAGGGAATGAATTTATAGTAAAAAACATAATTTATTTCATTATGTACATGAAAAAGTAAGTATATTTTTGATTAATAGTCATTCCTAGTCTATGTTCAATTGAGATTGAATGTTTATGTGGGTATCGAATTATAAAAGACAATAGCCTGCAATAGGTACCTAACGCGGGACACAACAACAACAAAATGTACCTATCCAATTCTACAGTTTGACCTTAAAAAAATTAAATTTACCGTTTTTATTTATCAAAAGGAACGAATAATACTTGTAATGTATCTTCGATCGTTTTTGGCACAAGGTAGTTCTCCAAGCTTCTGGATGCTAATTAATCTCTTGTTTTTGGACCGATTGGAACATCGTTGTTGACGGTGCGTGTTTGGACTTAAAACCCATAAATGTTGGAGTTCTCCAAGGCTGTGTACTTTCTCCACTACTGTTCCTCCTTCATATCAATGATAATATATTATGATAGATGCACTCAAGCAACGTTAATTGCTATGCGGATGACAGTACCTTTTATACCGGACATGCTTCTATTTCTCGGGTTGATGTCGAGCAGTGTTGGAACAAACTTGTGTCTGAAATCGAGATCCTCTTACATGGCCATCAACTCAATTAAGTCGAATTTAACTGCTAAAAAAATCCCATCAACCCTCAGCCAGTATTAGAATTCTCGGCTTTGACATATCGAGCGACGATTAGTTTCGCGGTCATTTGGAGGGTAAGGCTAAATTAACTTCCAAAAAGCTTGGTGTGCTCGGTAGCGCGAAACGGTACTTCACTTCGGGTCACCGCATGCAGCTGTATAATGCGCAAATTCAGCTCACATGGAGTACTGTTCTCACCTCTGGGCAGGAGCTCCCCAGTACCAGGTCCTTCTATTTGATGGCATCCAACGCAACGTGGCTCGAATCGTCGACAAGCCTGCTCTTTTCGATCGGGTCGATCCTTTGGATTTGCGTAGAGATGTTGCTTCCCTCAGCATCTTCTACCGCATTTATTATGGGGATTGCTCTGAAGAATTGTTTGGACTATTACCTGCGGCTGAATTCCAGCATCGGATGTCGAGGCAGAACGCAAAATTCTATCCTCTCTATATTGACGCCTGGTGTTCCACAACACAGCGCTTGTAAAGCAGTTTCTGCCGCGCAACACCTCTTTGTGGAATCAGCTGCCAGTAGATGTATTTCCAAATAGATATGACTTAGGGGGTTTCTAGAAAAGAGCGTACTATTGCCTGAAAGTTTGGCAACACACCCGGTAGCCCCCAGGTCCATGGGTAGCGGTCATCACTAATTCAGTAAACCGCTTGCTCCCATAAAAAAAACTCGATATGAAGAATTCAATGCTCTGTCAACCTCATGGTGATAATTATTCAAACCAAGCAACAAAAATTTTCTGAAAGAGTTAATCTTTAGAAATGCCGTGTTAATCTGAACCTAAACCAACGATCTTCCACACTTCTTTTACAAGTGTGACTAGTGAACTTCAGCCTCAATCATCGAGTTCAACCAGTGGAACAGAATTGTATACTTACAATAATTTAAGTACAAATGGCAATATGAAAGATACGAAAATGTTGGAGGTTATGGGGAAACCCTAAAAAATATTTAAGCTATACCACCGACAAGTGTTGAATCCGGAAGAGCCTTTTCTACGGCACACACATTTTTTTTAAATATCTTATTATGATTGATTGTGTTAATTATAATTGATGATTGTCAAAACAACGAAGAACGTTTAGTATTTTACAATATTTTTGTTTAGTATTTTAGTATAAATGGAACACCTCTTCTAGATATTACTTAAAGACAAATCAGGATTTGTATGTGACTATAATTATTTTATTATTGAATCCGGATTTTGCAATTCCTATAACTAGCAGCCCTGTTTTTTGTTGATAAATAATACATATTTGACAGCCGACAGACCTAACGCATTAGACAAAATCACTGTCAAACGTATCGTAACGTATATACGTCACGTGACGTTTACCTTCTAAAGGTCGTATTAATAAAATCGTCGTCGTTTTAGTAAAATGTTAAAGATATTGGTAGTTTTTTAGAAAATTTAATGTTAGCCCCACAATAAACTCTCCATATGACTTAGCAGACACTTCACCACAAAATTTAAGCTGAAATGTTTTATTAAAGTATATGTATTATTTTTACAATTATTGTATTTATTTCATTTCAATCTAGTTAATTTATAATACTTTTAAATTGAACTTAACAAAAAATAAAAAGTATAGATTTTATAAATACACATTGTTAAAATATGTCTTACTTGGTATGATTTTTATATATTTTATAATATAAAGAACATATTTAAAACATACAATACAGGTGATTTCTTAACTACTACCAGGTTGATCTCTTGTTGTCTCATAAGCCCTCTCAAGGGTGTTAGTAATAATCTTCATATCATTTTCTATGCTTCTTGCCCAGTTTTCAACATCACCAATTTCTTTTAAAGCACTGCTGAAATGTTCTACAAGAGCTACCCACTGCTGAGTTTGTTTTGAAAAATTTATAGCCCCTTGATGTAACAACTTTGCCTCTGCATCAAGTTTCTTTTGATTGAGATATGCTTGTGCCACTCTAAAACAAATATTATCTTTCTAAAGTTGTTGTAGCGCCATTAATTTTTTTTATTCACTCTGCTAGGTGAGATATAATATAATTTTACAGGCAGTATCTGGAACTCACTTAATAAATTACACTAAATAATTTGTAATTAAAGAGAATTTTATCTGTTAACTAAAGCACCATTCTTCACCTTTATTAGAGAACTGGTAGTAATTATAATTTAAGAGACATTAAATCTTATTATTTTCATAGGTGTGCACAATTACTGATATGAATAAGCAAGACTTCTCTTCAAGAATCCTCTTCTCTTTACATTGTATAAGACAATTTACCAGAGAAACTAACTAATTTATTTATATTACAAACAATACTGATTTCCTTTTTATATATACCACGGCTAAATAATCTAAAATTTAGTATGTATGTGTGTGATATTATTATAGATAAAAAAATATGTGTAAAGTATGAAGAATTAGAATATTACCCAACATTTAGGTGATCTACAAGGGCCTGTGTTAAATCATTGGCAGCAGATATACATTCCTTTCTTTTTAGTTCTGAAATTATAAGGATTATTGGGATCAATTAAATGGAAGTATAGTTAAAAATAATCCAGAATAAACTAAAATACCTTGAGTTGTCCTTTTCGCAGATTGTTTAGCTTGGTGTTCTTTTATAAGAGACGATAGCATATTGAAAGATATATTATTATTTCAAAGATCTGTTTTAGTCAAATGTTTAAAAACAATATGAGCTGTAAAGGTAACTGTTTTTACTATTAAAATATATAAAAAATAGTTAAGCTGTTTCACGCAATAATTTAAACCAATTTTTAAAAATCAACTAGTGATAATATTAATTGAAGATTTCCATATTTATTCACTATTTACTGTTTACACTAATACTTAATACATTAGTTTTGTGGTAGTGACACGCCAACTGACAAATGACAGTTCTAACTCCAGACCTTTATTGCAGACTCAAGCGTAGACAAGTAACAAATCAGTAGCCAGTGCCCAGTTGGATTTAAGTAGGTAAAGATCGATAATTTCCGCGTCACTTTAAGCACTTACCTACAATTTTTAGCTCTACTGCGAAAAAACACTAGGACATAATGTGACGCCGCACTCCGCAGCGTTGAAGAGATTATTCGACGGTTTTGCGCGCATGACACTATTTGACTTATTTATTAAGAATATATTGGTCGTTTTAACTACATCATCACATAGAAAACCCGAATTTTAGTTGAAATAGTACAATTAGACAGAATTAAATTAAATTAACGAAATATTATAAAAAGGTATATTATAACTTTTACGTTTAACGTGGCGGCGCGATCGACTTTACTGCGTAGAGTAATAATTGCAAGAAGTAGAGCAATTATTTGCCATACGGCTTTAAAAAAAACAAATAAAAAGAAAATGTTGATGGAAAAAAATAAGGTTTCTGAAAGATTTTAATGTTTAAAAGCTATTTCTCCCTTCAGTTTAAGTGGTTTCATGTTCATAAACACAATGCAAAGTACTTATAATGAATCTTATTTCCAGACCAATCAAGTTATAGTTGTTGTTATTTTTACAATTTATTAGAATCCAAAGAGTAACTAAATAGTATATTCACTACAAATATATAACATTTAATCTTCTTTCTGTTGAGTGTTGTGGATAGATCCATATTTTTCTTTCAATTTTTCAGTGAACTCTGGATCGTCCCAGCCCCATAAGGAATGTGTACCGTCTCCGGTGCGATAGGTTCGTTTTTGGACTATCTCAGGTGACACTGACTTTAGATCGTAAGCTTGACCAATCTGAAAAAAGACCAGGAGTTTTGTACTATGCTATATATGCCTTTCTTATTCTAAAGATCCAGTCAGTCTAGCTATTGCTAAGGGCCTCTGTCGATGAGGTGCGGTCCAGTTATTTAATTTTTAGATTAGGATGCTTTATAAGTACGAATTGTTAATCGGAATCCTTGTTATAGGTGTCTATAGAAAAACTCACTTTTGCCATAGCCTCAATAAAAACGATAGTGGGCGTAAGCATGTTGTAAAGAGGTAGTTCAGTGGCGCGGTAGTCCCAAGGAAACGTGTGGTGGTAGTTGTGGAAACCCTCTACACAGATCATCCAAACTCCTATATTGTCCCGTGGATTCAATGATCTGAAAGTCAAATGAACGTTATCAAAATAAAATGTTATTTAAAATGCAAATTTACCATTCAATCCTGGCGACGAAGTTCTATTAAAATGCAATTGTTATTTACTAACTCATAAGACCAATTTTTAATGACAAATTATGTATAAAAATAAATATGACTCACTTGTCGTACGGACGGTATCCGAAGGTGTGAGAGAAACTATTGACACTCCACACAACATTAATTCCACATGTGTAACGAAGTATAGTGGGAATGAAGAAGGCATTGAGCCAAGTTTCACCCCAGAAATATACTGGAATTACCGTCGGTAGAAGGAAGCAAAGGATTGGCATCATTTTCATGTAATGTCTGGAAAATGTTTTGGTACGTTACATTTTGTAAAATTGGAACAAGTTATCGAAGTTCAAACATATTCCGTTAATGTTTTAGAAAATACATATTTAGACAGTTCGAATAACATTATGTTTGTCTTACGACGGCAATACATACTTCTTTTGAAACATTACTACTGGATCTTCATATAAATCTGTGACGTCAATCCGTCGACCTCCCTCGATGACCTCAGGGCTCTTCTTGCAGCACAGCCAGCCCATGTGAGAAAAAAACAGTCCTCTTTCAGCATTGTGGGGATCGGCATCGGTGTCTGCATACTTGTGATGAGTGCGGTGATCACGGGCCCACTCGAATATACAGTCCTGTTGTACAATGATGTAAATAGAAGTTAATAAGTTTGTTTTGTGTTTCGATTGGTTTAAAGTCATATAATTATAAATTAACCAGGGTTAATCGTAATTTACTATTTAAAAGGAATAGATAAATTATGTTAAGACAAATTTGAAATTTGTATGAAACTCATATAATCAAACCATAACAACTGTTTCATGCGGTTTCTATTCTATGGGAACGTTTTTGTAAAAAAATACAACGAACGTCAAAATGTAAAGGTGGGAACTGACCAAAGTTACGAGGTGTAATGTAACACGTTACACAGCGAGTATTCGTGCAGTCAGTACGTCGTGTTACGTTTTCGCATTCGGTTTTTTAATATTGCAATCAATAACAAACCACCTCATACGCCTGTGTTTTTAAATAAGTTTGATGTCCAGTAACATTTCTTCTTCTTCTTTTTCTTAATTTGGATGAAACAATAATTAAATAGAATGAAAGATATCAACACGTCCTCGCTGTTGGCCATCTCGTGAACACTGGCGAAAGCGGAGCACAGAGTTTTGACGAGCATGTTACGCCGATTTTAGAACACAGCGTAATATGCTCGATGCGTAACACGCTCGATGCGAATGCTACATTACACCTCGTAACTTTGGTCAGTTCCCACCTTAAGTCGTAGGCGCCGAATGTTCATAGATTGGTCCCGAGAGAAACGTATTTAAAGGCGATCTAGCGGTGTATGTTGTAAGTACCGAAAAATGAGAGCAATCTTCTTAAAAAAAAAGTTTAGTCACTTCCGATAAAATTTATCAATTTGTTTACCAAAAGTCTTATTTATATTGTATGTATATAGAAAATAAAGTTTATATTAAGTATGTGTATTCCTATTAAGTTTAATTGTTTAATTAATACTTAATAAATTACTTATATTTGTAAATATAATTTGTAATATTAAAAATTCCCATTTTATGAAAGTTAATACTGACAAGCGTATGTACGTCCTATGTGCCAAATGAAATTACGTATTTTTTTATGTCTCTCTTGCTTTTAAAGAACTTTGTATCTCAAATGCCACATCCCTTAACATTATAACAATTGCGACGTTGCCACGCATGCATTCAGCCGTCACTATTCAAAGATTGGCAACCTCGCCTAGGCGTGAGTGCGTAGGAATGATTAATTGTCTATTTAATTTAATTGTCTTTACTATAATTAATTTAAAAAAAACCGCAAAAACCATTAGTCCTAGTTACAATTTAACTAAACTTGCATAATGTCAAAGAAAAAAGATACTAAAAAAATACCTGAAAGCCCATAGTTTGCCAAATCATAAGCAAGACACGTAATGGAGTCTTCGCCTTGTAGCAGCGGTGTGTCCAGAGCCTATGAGACCCTGCGCCGATTCCAATGGCGCACATGAGATGAACTAGAAATGCTGCGAAAAATCGACTTGAGTCAGAAATATGAGCCCTAAATACAACGGACCTAAAGGTATAATTTAGAGAATACGTACCAAATACATTGGTCTGCCATTTAGCTGAGGTCACACCCAAATAAATTCCATAAGCGGAGCCGATATGTAAAAAGAGGAACCAGAATATATTGAACCAGACATATTCGTATTTCTTCGGTGCTGCCTTTTTAAGCACCGATACGTCTTTAGCGAGACCCAAATCTGATGTTTGAGTGTCCGATTCGAATACTACCCCACTAGGGGTCGGTTCGGCTTGTGGTGGCATTCTCTGTAAACAGTATGCAAATTATTTCTAATTTATTATAGCATATGATATATTATGTAAACTTTAGAATTGTACTCATACATTGGCGATATGCTAACATAAAATGCAATGCAATTGAAATAAATAAATTTTGACAAAATTTACTAAAGTAATAAAGACAAATGAAGACCATCGAAAGTGTAAAAAATATTTAAGCAAATTTTTCATACTATATAATAATTAAACGTGACCCTAATTTCATCAAAGAGATGTTTTACTTACCACCAATATTAACAAACTAATCGAAAAAGATAACGCAACAAATTTATATACGAATTATAACAATGGGATTACACATATTTATTATTCCGATGATGTTAATTAAGTGACATCAAAGCTTACAAACAATTGTAATTAACATTATTTTGTTCCTTATATTTAAATTTCGTATTTAACTCCCTAAGCTGAATTTTCTTTGATATATAAATACATTGAAACACCAACGCTAAATTAGTAATTAAATGTCGTTTTTAAAGAAAGTTAATAATATTTTGTTTTTTCATTTAACTTTACGCAACGATATGGTGTAGGACGGTAAAATCAAATTTCCTATTTTCATGTAAACCAGTGGCAGGTCATATGGATTTCGGCTACAAATCACCAGGAATAGCAGTCTCGCATGTAATTTCCGTGAATCGTCAATCGAATTTACCAGACCTATGGATTTGAAATATCTAAGCCTTATAAGAAATTAATAAGTTATTTTTAAGCATTTATGGATCAAAGCAATATATATCTGAAATTAAATGAAAATAGATTCATTCATTATTATAAATGAGATTTATATAGGTATTGAAAAATACATATTATTGTTCACCAAAGTAGCAAAATAAAAATAGTAACTTAAAGTTTTAAATATAAAACCGCCAAATTACGTAGCGAATAAGAATATTGTACAGTAAATATAATCCGTGAATGACATCAAAGAATACTGTTCATCTCGAGATGTCGCAGATTTGTAAATGCGGTAAACATATGAGAGAGAATGAATGGGAAATCTTCCGAGCGGCTAACTGGGGCGTGAAACGGAGGTTTTATTTTGAGGAGCCTTTTACTGAGACCACTCCGATTTTCTTCCACTCCACTGATAATCTGCACGAAATAGGAATTAAAAGAGAATGGATTCATTCGTGAATACTTAAATCGAGTTCTTTTTGTGTTTCTCTCTTATAAGTTATAACGTTAAAGAGCTACATTTTTTCTACCACCGATGACGTCTTGCTTAATTTAAAACTAACGACGAATAGCAAAGTTTTGCACAGTTAGAGTGTACACACTATATTGTAAACCGTAGGATAATAACAATTGTCAAAATATTTGTTTCTGTATTTATATAAATACATTTAATTTAAATCCGGGTTATTAGGTCCGTCTCAGAATATTCATTGAATTGAGCAATTGACCGATTGTCGGTAACAAAGGGCGCTCGGAACATTGATAAATTAATTTAATTAATTTATCAATGTTCTGTAATTTAATATCGGAAATATTTATTGAAGGAGGAGCATTTGCTTCATTATTCAAATATTTCTACTATTTACATTGACATGTATAATTCACATAAATTATTTGTATTATGTAGTTCATAATTAACCATATTCCGAAACCCAACACTGCGGTTTGAAGAAGATGTATTAATTTTATAGGTAAGTAAGAGTCTCTTGTGTCTCCCAAACCAAACAATCTAGGACGTTTAGGGGACACAGATCAATGAATAATAATTTTAATTGTTATCAGGTTATGTTTTAATTTGAATCAATTAAGTTTTAATGTCCAAACAACAATCCAATTGTCATTTCCCAATGAGTCACAGGTCAAGGAAGAAGTTTAATGAATCAATAAATATATCATTCATCCGAAATAGTTTGCATTCTCTATACGAGTGCAGAAACTAATGTCCGTAAACATTGATTTTATTAAAATTAAACAAGTAACAGCATTAATCGCGCTTTTAACAAATAACGATTGAGTTTATCTTAGCAAGATGTTCACTAATGATTTTAGTTTCTCTGAATAGATCGAGTCGGAGTGAACGTTGAATGCTGTTCTTCATTTAATTAACACTAGGTATTGTACGTACAGCTCTGTTCTGTTACAGTCGTCTATTGAAACTGTTCCTCGCCTTCCTGTTAATGCTTTTGGCTCTGCTAGCATTGTTTTCCGGGTTGTTATGTGAGAAGTCTGAATTTTATATATGTATATAGGACGTGTAGATATAGGTGTGTTAAACATACAATCGCCTAGCCTGTGATAATGTAATAATAACAGAAACAACTTACGCGTCGATTTGTATACTAGCGTTTGCAGTCGCTAATAAATTATTCAAAAAGTTTTAAATACATGTCTTATTAATATTGAAATGACATAAGAACTAACACATGTTAGTCATGGTCATCTGCTGTCTTATAAATGACGATAGTAACTCTTTCTTCTTATTCTTATTCTTCTTATTCAAAAAAATTCAAAATCATTTATTCATTAAGTTAACACAATGTACAATAAAGAAATACATATTAAGTTCTCAAATCAAGGGCGTAGAACGGACGAGAAGAACTGGCAATAAAACTCAGGAACGGGAATAGACAATGCATTCTACTTCTCTGTATAATTAATTTTATATTAAGATTATTAATTAGTTTAATTTGTATAATCGGACCGAACTGGTACACATTCGTTTTAAGTCTGCATACCGCTGTGACTCTAAGAACATTACGTACAGAGGAGCAGAACACAAGGTCACAAAGAACAAATATAATATTATCCTTGGGCAGCAAAAACAAGGTTGAATTTGTTAGCGACGTCCCACCTGTCCTATAATTGAGATGCCAACCAGAATGAAATTATCACCTCGAGGACGCTCCTAAAGTAATACATTTTATCCCAACTCCTACACCATGACACGTTTGTATTTGTAAATTACTTTTTGGTGTTACTTTTCCATCCATCCTGCCTGACATTTGTCATCTATAAATATTGTATTATTGACCGAGAATAAATTTAACCTCTAATGGTTACTAAACGTGCGTAAATGTGTATTATTAGATATACTTAATGTCTTTTTTGGAACAATATCGCTAAAGGTATTGAGTACTTAACATTTCGTTTACTATATTTAAATTAATGACTTTATGGATAGTTGAAAACTACAAACCCGTGGTTGCCATGATTGATTCCATAGTGTTAAATTTCATCTGACGAATGACCCATGGTTTAATGAACGCGACAGGGGTTGTATTGTGATCGTGATGCTTTGCTGGGGTGCCAGGGTCACTATCGTACGATCCTTAGTGTATTTTAGTTAATGGCTCTCAATCTCTGGAAACGAGCGGTGGCGTAGAGAAAAATGCAATTATTCCCGTATTTTATGAGGCGATGAAATATTTTAATGCGCTCAACCCTTTTCATTTGAATAAAGTTGACGTTAAACCATTTGTAACTTTAGTAACAGATGTTCGCTTTTTGGCAGATTAGAGATTTAACTTTGCTTATTGCATTTTGTGAATTATTTTGTTAGATTTCTTCATTATATAAATATAAAAACATTTGATTTGTAAACTAAATAATCGCTTTTTAGTATTAACAATGCAATAAAAGAATAAATCTCGTTTCATTTTATTAAATACGCGTACACAAAGGCAGAATCCAAGTGTCCCATTCAGAGGATTTTTATCTTTTATTACTGTACTTTGTGTCCGCAACCCTTTCTTGTTTTAATACATTTCGAGCAAAAATAAAGGATAGGACTGGACGAGTAAAATTGTTGGTCTAGCGCGCTCATTACTTGCACCATATTGCGGTGTCCCCTCGTAAAGGGCAGTGGAAGAGGGCCGATGACAACCCTAAATCGGAAGGGCTCTGAGAAAACTTTACCCATCGCTGTAATGCTATGAATCTCATAGAACTTCGCTCCGGTAATGTACAAATGTAATAAAGCTGTGAGCTTGCAGAATTATACACGATCGATTAATCCAATATCGTGTAATTACGTTGCTCAATATTAATATCGGTTAGCGTCGACTGCTCTACTGTGTAGCTCACTCTATTTATTATTAATTGCTTAGCTATTGACGTTTATTATTTAGCAACCTGATAGGTAGCTTAACTCTAAATAAAGTACACACTAATATAAAATATTTATTTTGTAATTTGCTAATGTATAGGTCCCAGTTGAAACACGTAAAACTAAGTACAGAGTTAAAGAGATCGGTCTCGCCGGTGAACCTGGGTAAAAGTGAGTAACATAGGTACGGGGACTGTTTCATAAATTTTGTTGAAGCGAATGGGCGCAGGGTGACGGCACGGAACGTGTGCTGCCCCACTGTTTGTGTGCGGGGCGAGACGCGCTGACGTCACGGGCGCATGCGCCAATTGATGCTCCTTGATTGCAGAGTAGAGAATTATACAGAGACATTTATATTTATCACCTGATAGATAACCTGGTACTTGACCGTCTCTAGCAAATCGGTGTTGCTTATGCGTCTGCTGTGAATATTATCAAAAGGATTTATTATTGTAGGCGAATTATAAAATAATGCATACACGAGTTCTTATACAATCTTTATGAAACTCGAACATAAAAAATGGTATATTTAGAAAATCACAGCCAAATCGTAGTTTGTAGAATAAGATCTAAGGATTTTACCTACCAGACTGCTATAACAAAAAGATATAAAATAAATAAATAAGATATTTATGTTAATTATACATGTTAACGATATGCCATATTTGTTATAAAATAAGTGTAGTTTGATGATTTGCTATTTTAAAAGAGTACCGAGAGTTTTTTTCGCCGGCTTTTTCCCTCGGCCTACACCCTTCTTTGCCGATGAGTAGGGATGCAGATTATTATGGTGTATTGTTCATAATAATTCGCAAATACTTGTGCCTTTTTATGCGCAGATGGATCTGAAGCATTGCTCTACTCTGTGCTCCACAGTCCGTATTCGCATCGGCGGGGCTCACAGCGGAGTCACTCGCGAGAGCTACGCGCGTTCGCTACGAGTCGCTACGTCGTAGTCAACTCGTCTGTCCGAGAATTATTACGCGCCGATTCGACTACGACACGTTCAAATTCGTGACTGGTATTTGTGTGCGTGATGTGTATTTAACAGTGTGGAATATCTCCTAAGGTGGGTGAATTAATGTGTTATCTGTGTAGATCAGTTTTAAATGTCAAGGACATAGATATTGATCAAACATGTTTTGGTTCTACGAATTGTCTATGCTCTTTTGTCTTCATGATTACGACCTTGACATGCGAATTCTTATGTGAACGATGTGTACGGCTATCCTTTAAACGATTAAATGTAATACGCGACAAAGGAATAGGTATTCAAAGTGGGGTTGGAATAATTTATAAGAAAAGGTACCACCTTGCGTTAGGAGCTTCATGAATATGAAATGTTCCGAACTGGAATTTTAAAATATTTCTGAGATCTGTTCATTACTAGCCTATTAGCGTTATATAGCTATAGTATGACGTGTAATTTAAATAAATAGTTGTTTTTAAATTATGTACGTAAATAGGAGCAGGTATATAAGAAGATGTATGTTCTTAAATAGCTCCTAAGCGATCCATCGCGTCCATCGTCCTGTCACTTTCCATTCTCTTCACTGTCAGGAGGTAAGCAACGATATTATATGAAGAGCAAATAAGGCTTACAGATGCCCTAAACAGTTTACCAATGCATATAAGGATGAATTTTAAACAAATTATTTCTTAACAAATAAATAAATTAGACTTCTCGAATGAAAGGTCTATAATTTAATGAATACTCGAAAGCGTATCAATTACAAATTGGCAGAACTCACTCAAAGTAGCCTATACAAGGCTATTCGAGGATTTTGTTCTGATTTCACTTCTGTATTTGACATATTAATTAATATCTCAATTCAGATTTCAGCCGATTGTAGCTCTGATTTCTGCCCCTTTTCACCGATGTTTTTCATATTGCGAACTGATTTGGAAAACTTCAGCTATTAGTAAGTAAATTAACTAATGTAAGGCATTCAGTTACAAGAAAATAAATAAGACATCTAATCAATATCATAAAAGTAATCGTTTTAAAAGATCTTCGACGGATTGGGAGCTTTCAACCAATCAATTGAAGAACACTTGGATTTTTATTTCATAAAAAGATCTTGTATATAACATAGTCATAGTTTATTCGAATAGTGGTAATATTTCTCTTAATTTGCATTGAGATCGTTTGGGGTGCAGAAAACCTAAAGGGGCGCTCCTGACTGAAGCAGTGAGTACTGCTATTCAATTCTATACGTTTTAAAACACGTTCTTTGCACGGGAAACTACGGAAAATAATCAAAAATTATATAAACAAAATGTATACTAATACTTACTTAATTATTTATATAGTTGGTTATACCAACACACTTTTTTGAATTACTGCAATAAATACATTATTATTATTATTAATGTTTAAAGAAGAATTTTATGCAACAACAGGTGTTTACAAGAAAAATAACATTTGTTTTAAGAGTTAAACGTTTAAATTCACGGTAATACGAATATTTTGAAATTTGCTTCCGTGTTAAGTGCTGTCGAGTCGGCGTTTGAATGAAAATTGAAAAAGTTTTCTCCCAAAGACATAACCATTCTAAGAACATTTTGCAGATTCGGCGAGAGAGAGTATAATTATGATTAGAATTCTTGTGTAATTATTTCCTTATGTTGTATAACAATTCTTTTCCCTGGGGTTATGCGTGCATCGATACATTTTTTGAATTTTCTTCCTTCTGTTACTCCGATAGCATAAAGTTGCCAATCTAAGCCTACCACCTCGTATTATATTATTATTTTTGTTATTAATCACAAAATCTGAATTGCTGTGACAGGACTTTTCACAATGTTTTACAACGGTTCTCTGAATACCCTTACACCGCACTATATCACATAAAACTCAATCATAAAAATATCTTTGTCTAGCTGAAGGCAAAGACATATGTCCCGTCCTTCTTATTCCGGAACTAAGGTACCATTCACTTATTGACGAGAAAAAGGTTCTTTAAAAGGTATACATCCTGCGTATTCAATGCCGAAATAAAAAAGTTTTTATTCGCTTTACAGACGGGATGGTAGGGCGAAGCTTTAAATTTTCTGGAAACAATTTTTCGCGAGGATAAATTTTGTACGTGCTCCTGTAGATACAGGGAACGTTTCGTTGATAACGTGTTTCTATGCAGCTTATATTAGGCAACTACATTTAAAAGTATAATAATTTTGTAACTTATAGTTAATACTGGCTAATATCACTATTATTCAATTTTAAGAACATTTTGAAGTCTCTTACCCAAAAGAGCAGACACATCTGCGTTTGTTTTGGTAATTTTTATAGGCAGATTAGAAACAACACTTTGTTTTGGTTCCTAATAACTAGATACATTTTATTAATTACTTCAATCTACATATAACAAGTTGATCGATGCTCGTTTTTGTTTGCTTCAAACGAGCATAGTTTATGTAGAGGAATTTGAGTTTAATGATAATAAACATTTACACATCTTAATACACACCTACACAAATCGTATTATTAGTACCTATGTGATTATATGAAGTATAATTAACAAAATTATATTGGTTTTTTTTAACGAATGTATAATTTGTCTTAATTAATAGTTTATATAAACAGTCAATCAAATTTGAATATAGTATCATAAAATTTGACAAACCAGCCCAACCTAATTACCACTTTTATGCGTTTGAAAAGCGATCCCCGGCTAATTTGCTTGATAAATAACTCAATCGAAATTGCTTTGTCGAAACTGCCAAATACGGAATATTGCCTTTGATTAGAGGATTATTTGCTGAATACTCGATTATCTGAAATCGTAATTTATCACGCTTAATAAGGCACGGCAATTATTAAACGTTTGTCGTTTTGAGGGATCAAAAGATGTTTGCGCTTCTCAAATCGGTTGGAAATCATTAGTTGCTAAACCTTTGAGTGATCACAAAAAATAGCTCGAATTGCTAAAGCAGTTTTAATACAGCTCGCCTTTACCTCACAACGGCAAGGATTACTTGAGATTAAGCTGTCAGATCCAGATCAAATTGTTGTCGTAGGGAAGACATGCCTCAATATAATTATGAGTCTCTTGGAATAACGTATGCACAATACCTACAAACCGAAAAACCAAAAGCTTCTCAACAGTTTTTTTACTATTCGTCAATGAATTTATGAGTCAGTTTCAAAGTTCTCGAGGAAGAACATTTTAAAGGTACAGATCTTTCTACCTTTTTTATTACTATTCATAATTTGAATAGTTAAACTCACTAATAACGCCCACAGCTACACAAAATAATCATTAATAAACAGTTGATGGAATTTATGAACAGGTCATATGAACGTGACCTTTGAGAAGTTAATAACCCTTACTTTGAGACTTAGCTTTTCAGCTAATTCATCGTATAGTGTTATTATTATTTCAACTTTATTGGTCATTTTGTTTTCTGTTTGTTTTAATTAGCCTCAGTTATGCAAACTTTCGATATAAGTTCAGTTTTTATCCTTAATTATTGATTGGCTGTTAGCAGACCAAGCTACCTATCGTGTGATATATTTGGGAGAAATACTGGAATAATTCTATGAATGTTGTTATTAATTCTGTGTACATATACTCATTGTCATAAACGTTATGGATTACATTTTTATAAGTATGATTAACTGTAATAATTTAAACTTTAACTTTATCGCATAGAGATTCAACGATTTCGGTTCAACGCACGCCTAATTGCCTATTGGCTTGGTCCATTTTCGGTAACTAATTAGAATATTGGATAGTACATCTTTTATTAATGTATTTGATGCTCAAAACAATATAATTATAGTCACTTCTTTTTATATTCAGACTCATTAAACGTTCTTCGATATTAGTCTACTCCGCGATAACCATTGAATACGCTTCCCGTATTCAAACGATTCCTGCTTTAGTATTTCATTTTATATTCCTATTTCGGGGAGAAAATTTTGCTGAATAAATAAAACTTATAAGGAGATGCAAATATCAGATAGCTACTTACATTACACGGAACTGAGCACTTCTCGCCAATTGAAACACGTACTGCTCACTAAATTGTTTCTGACAACCCGCATCTTTCATCCAGATAAAAAGATATCTCATTTCACCGAACACTAAACACTAAAACGTCTACTTTACATATTATGAGCAGTTTATTTATAAAAAATCGGCCAGCTTATACGACACACGGAGCAGTAAGTTTTGTTTTGTGTTCAGAATATAAATAGACGTGGTCAATAGATTCTCTCTTTACCTACGGAGATTTTATATTCTACTTCTATTGTGACACAGGAAAATTCGTAATTATATTATCAGTTTGGACGATGTATTATAATAGGAAATTTAAATTATCGTAATTATTATTCAATGAGATAGACTTTTCTTTTTGGTTTGGTCAGAAGAATCGTGATATTCTTCGTTTCTTCACGTTACGTTTACGTTTTTGACCTTATGGCATTAATAACATAGAGTCAGTAAGAAAAATGACTTTGAAAATACATTATTATCACATTGTCATGATAGTCAACTATTTATTTAATTATTAATATACTTGTGAAACGTCTGAATTTTATTGATAAGGTTAGACACGTGTAATTGTTATTATTGTACGGTACATATTAATTTTACAATAAGTGAAAAATTTAATAATAATAAAATTAAGTATGAGATTTATAACAAACCATTTTAGTAACTTATTATTTAATAGATAAATAGATTTAAGCCCTATTACGTAAATTCGACGAATTAGATTAGGTATGTAACGATGAAATGATGTCCCGACAATTGTGTGTTAACTAGGTCACAATGTATTCTAATTTATCACTTCACAATGAACTCGGAATATACGTACTAAAGTCAGAATAATATCCATTTACTAAATATTTTAAAAGCAAGCTGTTGATTGATTTGAATGTACGTGATAGATAGCAAAATAAAAGCAATTACAATAGTTAGCAACAACAAAAGGTGTTAGTCAGACATTTAACAAAATATCCTCTTCATTCTTTTACAATATTAACAATGAACTATCCGTTGCATTGAAAACAATGTTGTAGAATTTAAAACAAATAAACGCAGTGTAATGAAAGGGTGGGTTTGGGGTGTAATATCAGGGGAGCGGGCGGGCCCAATCGATAAGCACCCCTGTTGGGCCTAAGGCACCCCTGACACCACGGTACAGTGCAACTCAAAGGAATTGCAACCCTCTACCGTCCAAGATAAACTGGGTCGGCCTGTCCTATGATATAACAATTGTTGACAACAAACTTAATGCAATTCAACATGCAACTGTGCTGATGCATTACTTTGAACCGGATAGCATTTCTTGTTAAATCAGCGTTTAGCATTAAACATTTGTCTTAAAATTTATAATAAACAATTTTTTTAATATTATGAAAGCAGTGGCACTTCTTACCTTAATGTCTGGGCGTCATATATTTATATGTTTCGTGATAATTTGATTTTCTAATAGACCAGATGATCAGCCTCTGTGCCTGACAAACGTCGTGGCAAGACATGTCGGTTTCTCACGATGTTTTCATTCACCGCACGAATGAGTGTTTAATGGTCACAAAGTCCAGTGTTTTAGCCGGGAAATGAACCTACAACCATAGGGATAAAAGTGGGCGCCTAGGCCAACACAGTTTATTAAATATGCTACCGCATTAAATGAAAAGCCAATCATTTACTTTCTAAAAGCGAATTTTGATTGAACATACCGCAACGTAAACAAAGATGATTATTCCATGATGGCCTCTGCGGTGAAGCAATGATTGATTTTGTTTATAACCCCGGCTAATCAAGTATTCATAAAAATTATATGGTAAAACAAAAGTAATTCTCTTCCGAATGGCGATTAATTCAAACCGAGTTCCATTTATTTAAATTTTTCATAAATATTTGTTTTATTTTATATTTTTGAGAAATAACTCTATTTTATAACCAATAGAAGTATATTGTTATTATATATACGTGGCTTGAATAACTAATTGCACTTAACTCGTTGGTTTTGAGATCTATTCCTGGCGAAACAATAATTGTTTCATGTAGGTATCTACATACCTGTGTACACATGTAAGGATGAAAAACAACCTTGTTGCTTTTAAACGATCCATGAAATATGTGCCCTGTAAGGTATTACGGTACGTCGAATAAAAAAGTCTATTACAAATAATATTACAGACATGATGCGTAGGATGAAGTCAAATTGTAACGGAAAATTTATTTCCTAAAAGTCTAGACTAATTTCCGTGTCATGAATTTTATTTTCAGTCCTTTGGCATAAAGTCTTTAAAGAATATTATAAAGGATTATTGTAAATTGTTTTCCGTGGTTCGATATTATTTAACGAATTATTTAATTAAACTATTTCAGAAGACTTCTTGAATAAACTTTGATTCTATTTATTTTTTATCACCGAGCTTTAGTTTTTCTCCTCTTTCTTACATACCTACTATACTTCGCAAAAGCAAGAAAAAATATTGTTTTTTTGACATTTTATTAAATATACGATAAATTCATCAATTTAATCGTTTACTTTTAGTCAAGACTTGTCTTAGGATAGTGTTACGTCTTAAAAACTTATTTACTTGGACATTACTAAGTTTCAATTGGCCGTAAGATCCTCGGATTCTGCGCAAAATATTATTTTACCTAACTTAGGAAATCCTTATGTTTCATGAGTCAGTTACATATTAAGTCATTCACTTTGTTCTATTGTTAGACTTAGTATGGTCGTTGTATTGAGCTGGTTGCATGGAACCAGTTGATGCACTCACGCATAGGAGCTCATGCACTGAGAGGTCACAATAGGCATTGTGTGACGTCTGGCTTATCTCGTATTCACTCGGACATACTTGTTCCGGACTGATAAAGTTCCATGCGATACCAAATCGTCTACCTTCTCAAGTGTTATGATAAACTAAAAATATTGTTTAACAGTTATCGTATGTTTCCTAATTGTGTATCAATATGTCGTATAATAGTACCGTTTTGACCAAGCCGTGCCACGAAGAAAACAAATAAATATTAATTTACACACAAGCAGTGTAATTTTAGTATACATCTGTATATTTTGTTATAAACCACTAGTCCGGTCATTACAACTCTCAACTTTTTGAATCGTGATATCTCAAAAACGGTGGCTCTTAGGAAAAAAAGTATTTAGACATTTTTTATAGATAATTATCTTATCTACAATTTTTGTTTAAACTAATTTTATGATAAAACTTACCATTTTGCTGAAAATCGCGAAAAACCCATTTTTGTGATCTTTGACCCGGAGTAAATTTTTTTGCACGTGCCGGATCGATGAGGACTTTTCACATTTCCTTAAGTGTATTGAGCAATCCTACCAATATTCAGCCAAGTGCGAATTATTGTAACCTTACCCCTATTTTTTAGTCTAATTTGACCGGATACACGCCTTAAATATGATATAAACACAGAATTCCTATATTCTGTGTTTATGAATGGTGAACAAATGGATCGAAATGACTATAATTAAAACAATTCGATATTTTGCATAATCTATCAAGTGTTGTGTAATTTAAAGTATGCTATGCGTATCGAGATAGAGGCGTAATCTCGAAAGATAAAATCACCAGAGTTTAGTGGTCGCAGGCTGATAACGGAACTATAGTTTACCTCGAACATGTTATAGAGTATGTGTACTCGTAAAGTGTCCCGTGTTCACCAAGAGCTCTCCGCAATAATACAAAATGTTGCCGAAGCCAAGAAAATAACGGACATTGAGTATAATGTTATATTCGGATTTGAAGATGTCGATTCCTTTGCATCTGGATTTTATAAAGTACAAATCAGAGGAAAACTAAATGGTTGTAAAGTAAATCAGAGATTAGTAATAAAATGGCATCATAGTGTTACAGATCGAGCATGTTTCAGAGAGGCTTACAAGAGGGAACACATATTTTGTAATATAGTTACACCATTTTATTTGAATATTCAACGGACTCTTATTTGCAATGAGGGCTTAAAATACAAGTTTCCCAACTGTATACTGTCATCAGTAGAGTATAACAAGGAAGTGATTGTGTTTCACAACATCGAAGGGTATAAACTTTTTGATAGATTCCAAACTATTGATTTTGAGCATGTCTCGTTGGTCATAAAAAATTTAGCAAAATTACACGCATTTTCGTTTATTACATCAGAACTACATCCAGATAAATTTGAGGAGTTTAAACAGCAATTAAACAAAGACGTCCAATATTCAGAGATACGGAATATACCGAAATCGTTGATTTATTACTTTAATGCGTCTCTCTCTGTTATATCAAATGAAAAATACAAGGATAAATTGAGGAATATTTCTCGGCATATTGCTTTCATTCTTAATAAATACTCGGCTCCGGCCACAAAATACAACGTGATTTGCCATGCGGATTGTTGGCACAATAACATATTTTTTAAATATCAGGTAAGATTATTATATCTTTTACGAGACTTCACTTTTTACGACGTAAACATAAAGGGTCACTTACATCAGTATTTTCTAAAGTTTTGACATAATAAATTTCAGGGAAACAGACCAGTCGATGCTATCTTTGTCGACTACCAATTAGTTCGCTTTGCATCACCGGTTACAGATATCTCGTACTTTATCTACATGTGCACAGACTTCCATTTTCTCTCAAAGTACTACGACCAGCTCTTAAACATTTATCACGGGACCTGTTCAGCTGTATTACGAGAATGTAACATCGACATTGAAGATGTCTATCCTAGAGCAGTATTTGATGAACAATTGAAGGAGCATTCTCAATTCGGGTTAGTCGAAGCCTTGATCTCTATGAAAATTATAACAGCGGAATCTGAGGAAGCGCAGAAAATGACAGAAATAAAACGCCAGGTCACTAATGACGCCCAAATAGAGGAATACGAGATACAAAACCAAGATATTTTTGTAAATAGAGTGAATGGAATTGTGAATTTCTTCTTTGAAAGAAATTATTCATTGAATGATACACAGTATCCATAAAATAATTATAAACTAATTACTAAAATTAGAATTATTAAAATATTTTACATAATTAAATGTTATTTTTAATATCACTTACAATATTGCCTTGTTGTTTTCTATAAAAACGAACAATCAAAGAATTTCTGGGACGGAATAATTTACTCAGTTATTAATTGTCGCCATAAAGATTTCCTCTTCGGGCATAATTGTCTTCGCGGAAAATTGAAATATGGGTATAGGTAGACATTATTTAAGATTCTTTGCCGCTTTAGAATTTCCAAGCTGGAACTCTCACTGGAATTCTCTGAAATTGTTTGGCTGGTAATAGTATTTTATGTTTCCTAACTAAGATATTTTCTTGAAGATTCTTAGATGAGAAATATCGTATATTTTAAAATGTTTTCTCATTTATTATGTATATAAGCATGAAATTGTACTTTAGTTCTTGTAGGAGTAACAAACAGTTCAGCATGGAAAAGCTGGCTTGGTCGGTAACTGAAATATACACAAAACCGAAGCTCTTCTATATACTAAAGCCTACCAAAGTACATATGTATGACGGAACATAATTGCTTATGCCGTGCACTTGCCTTCTCAAGCCATTAATAGTGAATTTTCCCGCACCCGTGTCAATAAGGGCATGCTACCGGCTATGTACTTAATAAACCAGGTACACAAACAATACAATGGTTCCGCCGAGAACAATCGATGTTATTGAACATCTTTATTGTTGTCTTAGTTTCTCTTTTATCGTAACTTGAAACTCAATGATATTGTTATTGTATTGTATAGTTTTGCAAAATGTTAAATCAACCACACCTACTTAGATTTCCTATTATATCAAGAATGAAATATTCTTACATTACATTCTTACAGCTTACATAAATAAATGTAACAAAAAACAATAACTAACCTTAAAATATAATGACTAAATATATTATTAAAAGGAGTCCCTTTAGGCAAGGTTCCGAAGATACTCGCATCGTTCCCCCTTTGAATAGCTAGACTAATTCTTTGTCCGAGGTAGCTGCCAGCTCGTCGGTCTCCTATTTAGATAGACTTAAAGTGAGATTTTGATTAAGTGAAACTTCACCGCAAAGCGAGCCAATCCGAAGAATTACAGAAGAATTATAGGTTAATCAATTATACAATTTCAGTGCACAAGAATGACTTATTTACCAAACTCCCTGCGACTTACCATAACTATTGAATGATGAAACTATTTTTTTTCTAACAAGATAAAAATCTTTAAAGGATACCTAAGTTTTTACAAATAAAATCCCAACAAGGTGTCAGGTTCATTGTAGTTTTAAAGTCACTTAACGGTCGATGAAGGTTTCGTTACTTGAGCCATGAAATTAAATGCGCACGAAACCCTTTAGCAGGGGATAAACACGTGATTTTATTGTTCTTCTAAACCTGTGTCACGATTTAACTATTATGCCAATCGTATATTTGGCAAAATATTTTGAATTATTCATTTAATTGGCCCAACCATACACAATTATTTTTTCACAGATAATTTTAACATAACTAAAACTTCGATTCATATATTTTATTCAGCTTCGCCTCTAACAAATAAGATCTAAACAATAAGTGAACAAAGTTAGTCAGACACTGAACACCGCAATACATTTAATGAGTATATAAACAAGACATACTATTTCTCTACTACTTTTGTTTTTTGGGAAGTTACAGCAGTATTTTCTTAACGGTTATGTGTTATAATTAGGTTGCGGTCTATTCTAGGCGTGTCGTACTGTAGAAAAAGTAATTTTAAATTAATAATGTAAACGCATGCCTACTATCCATAATTCTCATTTCTAATTAAATGTATTGTTTAAGTTTGATAATGTCTAAATAAATTTCAAACGTGTACCATCAACAGTGTAACATCAACAGATAATGACAGCTCATAGTTGTAGAAGTAGGGTTAAGTGTTCCGTTAACCCTTTCAGTCGCGAAACAAAGGGACGCCATAAAGTCGTTCGTGTTTTGCTTTTCCGGCAAACGGGCTCTTAACGCGCCTAACATTCTTCGCTTAATTGTTTTTAGCACCTCTTATTAAAAACACGATGTGCATTAACACTTTATTCACCAAAATACTTTAATTTACCTTTATATAAAGCTGCAGTTATTACTTACAGGAAGTATTAGAATGTCGTATAATCAAAGCTATGAAATATTTTAAAAATCTAAATCCATTACAATTGCTAGCAATACCGGAAGCACAATTTACGCGCGTCTTGCGCACCCATGAATACACTAGCAGAATTCACAAGGATTGCATTATTTTTAATTTATTATAAAAAGGTTTAGGTTTTTATGTTTTATTGTTTTGTTTATACTTAATATTATGTTCTTAGTTTAAATTTTGTATTAGTAAGTTTTCTGTTGTATTAGTATCAAGTAACTATAAGAATAAAAATAAGGAAATAAATAAATATTCGTCATAAAAAATCTATTTTCTTTAAAAAATATATGATATATAAGTTAGGGCACATTAAATATAACACCTTAAATTCCAACCCACGTAATTAGGTAGGACAGCACCCGGTTTTAGCGATTACCATAAATCGTTATAAAAATTTAATAAAATGCTAATACAATCTAAAAGTCCCTAATGTATCGCACTCTATAGGTATCATTTTTCGTCGTTTACACCAGAAGTAAGAAAATAAATCGTCCATTGTAAGGAAGAGGAAATATAAAATGGATAAACTGTAGGGCGGAGTGGCTAAAAGGGATGTAGAGGTAAAACCTCCTACGACACCGTCGTGCCGGGTCGAATCTAATTTTTCCCCAGCTAATGTCGGCCTGCTCTTCGTACAAGGTTCAGTGGGCGCGAAAATTGTTATTTGAGATACACTGATAGCCAGTGGAATGACTTTATTTAGAAAAATACCTAACACTGTCTGATAGTTTGAAATGTTCGAGGATGTTTGAGTTAAAGCGAGTTTGTTTGTGGTAATCAGAATTTGAAATTAACAATGTTTTACGCACGCTACACACTCGAGCTTTATAGCGTAATGCGTGCATTGCGTAGCACATAACTTTTAAAAGTATTGTTAGTACAGTTGTAGCAGCATTACGCGTTAAGATTTCCTTTTTATACATTTACATTTAATAAATGTTTATTTTAAGTGCAATATACATGCTCATCAAATGTTGTTTTTACGCTATGCAATTATGCCAACCATCATTTATTTATGAACAAATTAATCGGAATAAAGTTCATTAGTTTTATTCCATTAGTCCTCCCTTTCGTACAGTAGTGAGTGCATTGAATCATTGATTGGAGTGGTCGCACTGTGCGGTCGAACGTTTGATAAATAATTAAAATATTACAGTACTAGACTGTATACAGTTGAAAACTATCACAAAAAGCCATTTTATGATTTTATACGGTTCGTTGGCAAAAATAGTTGTCTGCATAACGCTTTCTATATTCAGACGTATTTTTTTAATTTTCTAACGTTGAAAATAGTACTGCTTTTCACATCCGAATTCCTGTCTTCATTTGTTTTATTATGTGTCTCCTATATGTGCGAAATGTTTATTTTCATCAATAACAAATCAATATAGCAAGTGTTTTGGCCGGTGTGTGTAAGCCTCTTGTTGAAGAGCCCATCATTATTTCAAATCACGTTCGGGATTGGCGCCAGATACATTATTGATTTCTGACTTCTATGTACCTAAATATTATATTTATTATTTAGGGCTAAAGTATGACACATATATAGATTTAAAACAGAAGTACCTATGGCTATCCGGACATCTAAAAATAATTGATAAATTGATTCATGAGTTAAACATCAAAACACTATAAAAACTTTGGCCAAATAAGGTATTAATTTCGTTTCTGATTTTATCACAATGATTAAATCATTTAGAATTGGATACTAGCAAATTTAAAGATAAATAAATGAAACGTGATGAATATTTTTAAAAGTTTAAATTAATTCTGTATTAATTACTCCAATAAATACTACTAAATAATAAGCTCATCTAAAATGTAAATTGTACAATATTTGCAACAAATATCAATGTAGAATATCCCTGTATAAGAAAAAATAAAACAGCGAACGTAAAGAAAATAGAAAACTTTCTGAAATGTATAGAATTAACGCCGCAAGCAGTTTCGAGGGTGGACTCTAATTAAATTTCTGTAAATACGCTTCCATGGTCGCTTTTTATTTTAATTTCTGTTCGTATTTGTCGACTGCATTAAATGAGACTAAACACTCGGTCATGCCGAAATGAATACGTACTTACCGAGTTAAGGTAGTAGCCTAATTATTTAGAAATGTGAAATTTAACTAAGAATATTTATAGACAAGACCGATGCTTCTAAATTTCAACGAGTTTGATGAAATCATATTTCAGTTTTTAATCTCTTACCCGCTCTACGCCCTTGACTTGCGAACTGGTAGTAAATGTAAATTTACGATTAATTTAACTTGACGATTCAAAAGTGTACTTGGTTACCTACTTGAATAAAGATATTTTGAGTTTGAGTTTGAGTTTAATATTATTTTCTTTTCGGCCATAACTGCTTGTACAATAAATAATATAGAGGGATTTGTAGTCATAGCAGATAAAAGCATGATGAATAACACACAAACTTATAGAGGAGACGTTTGACCTTTTTTAAAATCTTGTTTAGTCTCGAAATAGAGAAATAATATACTTAAAAAAACATCTTTAAGTCGTCCAAAGCGTATTCTTTTTATGATTAATGCATTATCTAATTTGGCTGAGTGATTATTTTGTTTTATTATTTATTAATTATAGGCTTCATTGGAGCCTTTAAGTAGCTTTCTACGTGTAAGACAAAGAAAGTTGTTCATATTTTTTTTATTTAAACGTATTCAAAATTAAAATATTTGTACAATTCTCAACAAGGTTAAAAGCCATTTAAAAGTATTATTCCAAACGCTGAAGCACTCCATGCCTGGCAATGAAACGTAAGACCAATTTGATCTTATTCTATCACACTAAATCCCATAGAGTTGAAA